CAACATGCCCACTCGACCCTATCCCCTCCTCCCTTCTCCAGATCATCTCTGGAGACCTTCTCCTATTCCTCACTTCCCTAATCAACTCATCCCTGACCACTGGCTGCGTCCCCTCTTACTTCAAAATGTCCAGAGTCGCTCCCCTCCTCAAGAAACCAACACTCGACTCATCTGATGTCCAAAACTATAGACCTATATCCCTTCTTTCCAAAACACTTGAGTGTGCTGTCTCTGATCAACTTTCTCATTATCTCTCTCAGAACGAGCTTCTTGACCCTAACCAGCTTCAAGACGGGTCACTCAACCGAGACTGCTCTTCTCTGTGTCACGGAGGCTCTCCGCACTGCCAAAGCTGACTCTCTCTCCTCTGTTCTCATCCTCCTAAATCTATCCGCTGCCGTCGATACCGTGAACCATCAGATCCTCCTCTCCACCCTCTCAGGGCTGGGCGTCTCAGGCTCTGCACACTCTTGGATTGCATCCTACCTGGCAGGCCGTTCCTACCAGGTGATGTGGAGAGGATCTGTGTCTGCAACACGTACTCTCGCTACTGATGTCCCCCAGAGCTCGGTTCTAGGCCCTCTCCTCTTCTCTCTATACACCAAGTCACTCGGCTTCGTCATATCCTCACATGGTCTCTCCTATCATTGCGATGCGGATGACACAACTACTTTTCTCCTTCCCCTGTTCTGACACCCAGGTGGCAACACGCATCTCTGCGTGCCTGGCAGATATCTCAACTTGGATGTCGGCCCACCACCTCAAGCTCAACCTCAACAAGACGGAGCTGCTCTTGCCCCTCTGGGAAGGCCTGCCAGCTCAAAGACCTCTCCATCACTGTTGACAACTCCACAGTGTCGCATTCCCAGAGTGCAAAGAACCTTGGCGTGACCCTGGACAACAGCCTGTCGTTCTCTGCAAACATCAAAGCAGTGACTCGCTCCTACCTCACACAGGAAGCGGCGCAAGTCCTAATCCAATCACTTGTCCTCTCCCGTCTGGACTACTGCAACTCGCTATTGGCTGGGCTCCCCGCTTGTGCCATCAAACCTCTGCAACTTATCCAGAATGATTTCAACCTTCCCAAGTTCTCTCATGTCACCCCGCTCCTCCGCACACTCCACTGGCTTCCAGTCGAAGCTTGCATCCACTTCAAGACCATGGTGCTTACCTACAGAACAGCAAGAGGAACTGCCCCTCCCTACCTTCAAGCTATGCTCAAACCCTACACCCCAACCCGAACGCTCCGTTCTGCTACCTCAGGTCTCTTGGCCCTCCCACCCCTGTGAGAGGGCAACTCCCGCTCAGCCCAGTCCAAGCTCTTCTCTGTCCTGGCACCTCAATGGTGGAACCAGCTTCCCCCTGAAGCTAGGACAGCAGAGTCCCTGCCCATCTTCCAAAAACATCTGAAACCCTTCAAACAGTATCTTGACCCCCCCCCCCCCCCCCCTAGTTCTGACTCTACTGATAGCTACTTTATTGAGGAAAAATGTACTTTCTATGCCTGTGATGTGGTTTTCCCAACTAGCTATCTTAAGATGAATGCAACTATAAGTCACTCTGGATAAGATAATCTGCTAAATGAATAACATGTAAATGTAAAAAATAAAACATCTCCATCATCTGATCCGCGATTGATTGAATCCAACCTCACAACAATCAAGCTGAAATGATGACTCTATACTTCTACAGAAGTCCTTTTAGAGGGTCATACATAATGCATTCACTGAGATGCATTATCAGCAGAGAAGGAGTCTGTTGACAGAAGCACAATGAGACATTACTATGCATACATCATCTATCTAAGCCCCAGGCTCTGAGATATTGTATGCATTCTCTAAAGCTTATTCTGAGCTTTGCAAATCTCATTCCACCTCTGACATATACATACATCTCCCTCAACCAATTGAATAGAGAATGGGTTTATAGCATTTCACAGAAGCCTTCTCAAGTATACATTCAAACCGCTTGACTATTCTTTACAGCTCCATAGCATTCAAAGAATTCAAAGGCTTACCTCATACTCCGAAGAGCTATGGTAAAGTAATTGTTGTCAGTCGCATAAATTGAAAATAAACAGTTGCTATAATTGTTATTAGTCTATAGTTTTATTCCATTTGCGGCATCCAGTAAGTATCCTGTGAGAACCCATCACAGCTCCTGCCTCTCTCTCTCAACTTAAAGAGTTTGGCTGGAGGAGTGGTGTGACGTTTTCCTTCTGAGCGTGTGTGCGATAGAGAGAGAGAGAGAGAGAGAGTCTGTGCCCAGGGTTGTGTGAGGGCGGGGTGTGGTAAGGAGGTGGAGAGAGAGCTGGGCAGTGCCTCTGCATGTGGACCAGGGCTGGTCATAAGCAGAAATTACTATATAGGGCTTTCCATGTTGATAATTGTTATTACTGTGGTCATTAGTATCACCCTGACAAAGTATGGCTGGGTCGGTTATCAAAAGAATATAAGCATCACCTTGTCTTTTTATCTGTATTTCTTATCCACATAGGGATTAACTCATGTTTCAAAAAAGTGCAGGCATAGGTAAAATTGAAAATCTACTCAAATGAACAACAAAAGTAGATTAATTAATTTGGACTGTTAGTTCAACATGTTATGATTTTAGAGCTCCAGGTAGAATTAGCCCTATAAGGCTCTTATCTAGAATCATTTTACTCTCCTCAATTCCTCCACTGAACCATCAAGGGGACAAACACACATATAGACTCAAACCAGTGTCTATGGGGAACTTTATCCTTTTCCCAAACAACTCCAGTGGTCATCATTTATGTATGCATTTCTTCAAATTTTTTAAAGGTTCAAACCCCCGTCACCAGGGGGCATGTGTGGTCCAAGGTTGGGAGCATTCACCGCTACACCAGACTCTGGCACGTGGTCATCATTTCTATACTGTTAAGATTACTGTATGCTTCCCAGTCTAAACAGTTCGCTCATTTATTATGATTACATTTTGTGATGTTGTGGGGGGGGTTTTTTCCGGCTGTTCAAACACACAATGTTTTTATTAAGGCAAGTCGAAGTTCGGTAGCCGAAGTCTACACCTCTTTGTCTGTGATTGGTTAACAGTAGGGATTCTCCAATGAAGTCTTTGTTGTCATTCAACGAGTTTTCATGCACTTTTTTTCAATTGAGAAATACTGCACCAAAGATCTCAGTTAGATGTAAAATTGTGTGACTAAGACCTTCTCGGCAAAAACATCAAAATCAATTACAGATTTCTTGAGTTATCTTAGATTAATTTGGACTATTTTGAGGAAGAGTACTGGCTATGTTGTTGATACGGCATCTCAAGAGGGACAAACAATAATATTGCAGTTCTTTTCTCGTTTTTAAGCGAAGGTACAGTGCATTTTGAAAGTATTCAGACCCCTTGACTTTTGTTACATTACAGCCTTATTCTAAAATGGATTAAATAAATGTTTTCCCTCATCAATCTACACACAATACCCCATAATGACAACGTGAAAACAGGTTTATTAAACATTTGAAACAGTAAGTATTCAGTCCCTTTGCTATGAGACTCGAAATTGAGCTCAGGTGCATCCTGTTTCCATTGATCATCCTTGAGATGTTTATACAACTTGTGGCAAAATTCAATTGATTGGACATGATTTGGAAAGGCACACACCTGCCTATTTAAGGTCCCACAATTGACAGTGCATGTCAGAGGAAACACCAAGCCATGAGGTCGAAGAAATTGTCCGTAGAGCTCAGAGACAAGATTGTGTCGAGGCACAGATCTGGGGAAGGGTACCAACAAACTTCTGCAGCATTGAAGGTCACCAAGAACACAGTGGCCTCCATCATTCTTAAATGGAAGAAGTGTGGAACCACCAAGACTCTTCTTAGAGCTGGCCGCACAGTCAAACTGAGCAATCAGGGGAGAAGGGCCTTGGTCAGGGTGGTAACCAAGAACCCGATGGTCACTCTGACAGTGCTCCAGAGTTCCTCTGTGAAGACAGAAGCCACTCCTCACTAAAAAGCACTTGACAGCCCGCTTGGAGTTTGCCAAAAGGCACCTAAAGGACTCTCAGACCATGAGAAACTAGATTCTCTGGTCTGATGAAACCAAGATTGAACTCTTTGGCCTGAATGCCAAGCGTCACGTCTGGAGGAAACCTGGCACCATCCCTACGGTGAAGCATGGTGGTGGCAGCATCATGCTGTGGGGATGTTTTTCAATGGCAGGGACTGGGAGACCCGTCAGGATCGATGGACAGATGAACAGAGCAAAGTACAGGGAGATCCTTGATGAAAACCTGCTCCAGAGCGCTCAGGACCTCAGACTGGGGCGAAGGTTCACCTTCCAACAGGACAACGACCCTAAGCACACAGTCAAGACAACGCAGGAGTGGCTTCGGGACAAGTCTCTGAATGTCCTTGAGTGGCCCAGCCAGAGCCCGGACTTGAACCCAATCTAACATCTCTGGAGAGACTTGAAAATAGCTATGCAGCGACGCTCCCCATCCAACCTGACAGAGAAGGATCTGCAGAGAAGAATGGGAGAAACTCCCCAAATATGTGGTCCTCTGTAGCTCAGCTGGTAGAGCACGGCGCTTGTAACGCCAAGGTAGTGGGTTCGATCCCCGGGACCACCCATACACAAAACAAAAAAATTTATGCACGCATGACTGTAAGTCGCTTTGGATAAAAGTGTCTGCTAAATGGCATATTATTTATTTAGTTTTTACAGGTGTACCAAGCTTGTAGCGTCATACCAAAGAAGAATTGAGTCTGTAATCGCTGTCAAAGGTGCTTCAACAAAGTACTGAGTAAAGGGTCTGAACACTTATGTAAATGTGATATTTCATTATTATTTTTTTATATATATATATAACTTTGTCATTATGGGGTATTGTGTGTAGATTGATGAGGCTGTAACGTAACAAAATGTGGAAAAAGTCAAGGGGTCTGAATACTTTCCGAATGCACTGTATTTTAAGGGAGTATGCGAGCACCGATGTTTACTTCACCTTAAGTCTCCCTCTCACACTGAACATACAAGTTCAAAGTAGAACCATAGAAGGAAATCTCCCTTTTACCTTGCACCTCGAACTCTGACCCGCAGGGTGAAAGGTCACTCTCGTTGACCCCCAGAGCCTCCATCAGCTGCTCCACATTCATCCTGGCTGTCAACTCGCCATTCCTGTCCCCAATCTGAGCGAGGGAGAAGGGAGAAAGAGAGACCTTATTGACTACAGGTGTATGGGATTTCACTGTTTGATTATTGTTAGTCTGATAATAGCAACGACAAATATATTGGTCTTGAAAATAAATAGTAATATAACTCCTTAAAAATGCAGTGGTTACCTCTCTGGAGATATCCAGGTGTTTGCGGGCATAGTGCAGGGCCTGGCGATGATTCCCTAAAGACACATAGGCATTTCCCAGACTCCAGCAGGCACGACCCTCTCCAACCCTATCAACACGTACAGTTAGAGAAGGAACAAATCAAACACCATAATGATAATCATGTTAAGGTTTTAAGGTTTGTGTGCATGTCAGTTGAGACTGCTGAGGGGAGGACGGCTCATAATGATGGCTGGAACGGAGCAAATGGAATGGCATCAAACAATGTGCTTGATGTATTTGATACTATTCCACTGATTCATCTCCAGCCATTACCACGAGCCCATCCTCCCCAATTAAGGTGCCACCAACCTCCTGTGGTGCATGTGTGCATGCTTGCTTGTGTGCTTGCGTGGAAGTGTTTATGTGTGTGTGTGTGTGTGTGTGTGTGTGTGTCTGTGTGTGACTGCATTTGAGTGTGCACATACAGTGAGGGAAAAAAGTGTATTGTATTTGATCCCCTGCTGATTATGTACGTTTGCACACTGACAAAGAAATGATCAGTCTATCATTTTAATGGTAGGTTTATTTGAACAGTGAGAGACAGAATAACAACAACAAAAATCCAGAAAAACATGTCAAAAATGTTATAAATTGATTTGCATTTTAATGAGGGGAATAAGTATTTGACCCCCTCTCAATCAGAAAGATTTCTGGCTCCCAGGTGTATTTTATACAGGTAACGAGCTGAGATTAGGAGCACACTTTTAAAGGGAGTGCTCCTAATCTCAGTTTGTAACCTGTATAAAAGACACCTGTCCACAGAAGCAATCAATCAATCAGATTCCAAACTCTCCACCATGGCCAAGACCAAAGAGCTCTCCAAGGATGCAGGGACAAGATTGTAGACCTACACAAGGCTGGAATGGGCTACAAGACCATCGCCAAGCAGCTTGGTGAGAAGGTGACAACAGTTGGTGCGATTATTCGCAAATGGAAGAAACACAAAATAACTGTCAATCTCCCTCGGCCTGGGGCTCCATGCAAGATCTCACCTCGTGGAGTTGCAATGATCATGAGAACGGTGAGGAATCAGCCCAGAACTACACGGGAGGATCTTGTCAATGATCTCAAGGCAGCTGGGACCATAGTCACAAAGAAAACAATTGGTAACACACTACGCCGTGAAGGACTGAAATCCTGCAGCGCCCGCAAGGTCCCCCTGCTCAAGAAAGCACATATACAGGCCTGTCTGAAGTTTGCCAATGAACATCTGAATGATTCAAAGGAGAACTGGGTGAAAGTGTTGTGGTCAGATGAGACCAAAATCGAGCTCTTTGGCATCAACTCAACTCGCCGTGTTTGGAGGAGGAGGAATGCTGCCTATGACCCCAAGAACACCATCCCCACCGTCAAACATGGAGGTGGAAACATTATGCTTTTGGGGTGTTTTTCTGCTAAGGGGACAGGACAACTTCACCGCATCAAAGGGACGATGGACGGGGCCATGTACCGTCAAATCTTGGGTGAGAACCTCCTTCCCTCAGCCAGGGCATTGAAAATTGGTCGTGGATGGGTATTCCAGCATGACAATGACCCAAAACACACAGCCAAGGCAACAAAGGAGTGGCTCAAGAAGAAGCACATTAAGGTCCTGGAGTGGCCTAGCCAGTCTCCAGACCTTAATCCCATAGAAAATCTGTGGAGGGAGCTGAAGGTTCGAGTTGCCAAACGTCAGCCTCGAAACCTTAATGACTTGGAGAAGATCTGCAAAGAGGAGTGGGACAAAATCCCTCCTGAGATGTGTGCAAACCTGATGGCCAACTACAAGAAACGTCTGACCTCTGTGATTGCCAACAAGGGTTTTGCCACCAAGTACTAAGTCATGTTTTGCAGAGGGGTCAAATACTTATTTCCCTCATTAAAAAGCAAATACATTTATAACATTTTTGACATGCGTTTCTCTGGATGTTTTTGTTGTTATTCTGTCCCTCACTGTTCAAATAAACCTACCATTAAAATTATAGACAGATCATGTCTTTGTCAGTGGGCAAACGTACAAAATCAGCAGGGGATCAAATACTTTTTTCCCTCACTGTAGGTGTGTGTACCTGTCAGTGAGCTCCTGGGCTATGAGGAGGTGTTTGAGGTGGTAGTCTATGGCTCTCTCGTACTGCTGCAGCAAAGTGTAGGTGTTCCCCAGGCTGTAACATGCCTGGGCCTCCATCACCTGGTCCTTTAACTGACGAGACAGCTGCAGAGTTTTCCTGGATGGAAGAGGGAGACGGGGAGAAGGAGAGAGCGAGGTAGAGGAAATTAGATGTATACAGAGGGAGAGAGGGTGATGAATGGAAAAAGAGGAGAACAGATATATTTAAAGTTAGATCGTGTTTTTTACTATCCCACACACAATTCCAACAATTTATTTTAAATGACACATTCTTATTATGAATTAATCTCATACATTATATTGATCTAAAACATTATTAGATTTGAATGCATGCAGGTAATGAAGTCTAACATATCACGTAGCGCTCTGAGCCTCATTGGTTGACACACATCATGTCCACTAGGTGTCAGTGTTGTAGTCTCTTCTAACCTGTAGTACTCCGTGGCAGTGTTGAACTGGCCCAGGAAAATCAGAGCGTTGCCTAGGTTACTATAGGCTCTACGTTCTGCTGCTTTGTCACCGAACTCCTTGGCAATGGAGAGTCTCTGTGAACAAAATAAAGTTGATATATTTTCTTGTAAATGTACTGTATGTGTCTATATTGTTGGCCTTGACCAGTCTTTACCCTATTGATGGAGCAATATTGTGCTACAAAACTGATACTTGTATGTTTTGTAAGTATGTCATACACTTTACATTGAACTCATTTTCAAAGACAAAGGCAAATGTCTCTTATGTGTTTTCACCCAGGGGCGAAATGATCTAGTGTGAAAACACCTTCCATTCATTATGTAATGTCACACTTACAGTTGAAGTCGGAAATGTACACACCCAAATACATTTAAACTCAGTTTTTCACAATTCCTGACATTTAATGAAAAAAATTCCCTGTCTTAGGTCAGTTAGGATCACCACTTTATTTTAAGAATGTGAAATATCAGAATAATAGTAGAGAGAATTATTTATTTCAGCTTTTATTTCTTTCGTCACATTCCCAGTTGGTCAGAAGTTTACATACACTCAATTAGTATTTGGTAGCATTGCCTTTAAATTGTTTAACTTGGGTCAAACGTTTCGGCTAGCCTTCCACAAGCTTCCCACAATAAGTTGGGTTAATTTTGGCCCATTCCTCCTGACAGAGCTGGTGTAACTGAGTCAGGTTTGTAGGCCTCCTTGCTCGCACACGCTTTTTCAGTTCTGCCCACAAATCTTCTATAGGATTGAGGTCAGGGCTTTGTGATGGCCACTCCGATACCTTGACTTTGTTGTCCTTAAGCCATTTTGCCACAACTTTGGAAATATACTTGAGGTCATTGTCCATTTGGAAGACCCATTTGCGACCAAGCTTTAACTTCCTGACTGATGTCTTGAGATGTTGCTTCAATATATCCACATCATTTTCCTTCCTCATGATGCCATCTCTTTTGTGAAGTGCACCAGTCCCTCCTGAGGCAAAGCATCCCCACAGCATGATGCTGCCACCCCCGTGCTTCACGGTTGGGATGGTGTTCTTCGGCTTGCAAGCCCCCCCTTTTTCCTCCAAACATAACGATGGTCATTATGCCCAAACAGTTCTATTTATGTTTCATCAGACCAGAGGACATTTCTCCAAAAAGTACGATCTTTGTCCCCATGTGCAGTTGCAAACCGTAGTCTGGCATTTTATGGCGGTTTTGGAGCAGTGGCTTCTACCTTGCTGAGCGGCCTTTCAGGTTATGTCGATATAGGACTCGTTTTACTGTGGATATACATACTTTTGTACCCGTTTCCTCCAGCAGCTTCACAAGGTCCTTTGCTGTTGTTATGGGATTGATTTGCACTATTCGCACCAAAGTATGTTCATCTCTAGGAGACAGAACGCGTCTCCTTCCTGAGCGGTATGACGGCTGCGTGGTCCCATGGTGTTTATACTTGCGTACTATTGTTTGTACAGATGAACGTGGTATCTTCAGGCGTTTGGAAATTGCTCCCAAGGATGAACCAGACTTGTGGAGGTCTACAATTTTCTTTCTGAGGTCTTGGCTGATTTCTTTTGATTTTCCCATGATGTCAAGCAAAGAGGCACTGAGTTTGAAGGTAAGCCTTGAAATAAATCCACAGGTACACCTCCAATCGACTCAAATTATGTCTATTAGCCCATCAGAAGCTTCTAAAGCCATGACATAATTTTCTGGAATTTTCCAAGCCGTTTACATTTTTACATTTGAGTCATTTAGCAGACGCTCTTATCCAGAGCGACTTACAGTTAGTGAGTGCATACATTTTCATACTGGCCCCCCGTGGGAAACAAACCCACAACCCTGGCGTTGCAAGTGCCATGCTCTACCAACTGAGCTACAGGGGACTGTTTAAAGGCACAGTCAACTTAGTGTATGTAAACTTCTGACCCACTGGAATTGTGATACAGTGAATTACTGTATAAGTGAAAAAATCTTTCCGTAAACAATTGTTGGAAAAATTACTTGTGTCATGCACAAAGTAGATGTCCTAACCGACTTGCCAAACTATAGTTTGTTAACAAGAAATTTGTAGAGTGGTTGAAAAACGAGTTTTAATGACTCCAACCTAAGTGTATGTAAACTTCTGACTTCAACTGTATGTCACACTATTGTGTGTATCTCTTTACTAGTACATCAGATGACGTTGACTACTGTCCCAGGGATATGTATATGTATCTCACCTGTCTGTGGAATTTGATGGCCTCCAAAAAATTTCCCAACAGGTAGTGGGTGTTGCCTAGGTTACCAAAGGCCCTCCCCTGAGCGGCTCTGTCGCCCAGCTCTTTGACCAGACACAGGTTCATCCTTTAGAAGAGAGGAGGACTTGAGTTTGTTACAATTGTGTTTTACACAAATTATACAAAGTCACATTGTTGTTGTCTTGGAGTGAACATTCTACAGTGCCTTCAGAAAGTATTCACACCCCTCAACTTTTTCCACACTTTGTTGTGGTACATCCTGAATTTACAATGGATTAAATTGAGATTAATGTCAAAGTGGAATTATGTTTTTTGATATTTTTACAAATTCATAAAAAATGAAAAGCTGAAATGTCTTGAGTCAATAAGTATTCAACCCCTTTGTTATGGCAAGCCTAAATAAATTCAAGAGTAAAAATGTGTTTAACAAGTCACATTATAAGTTGCATGGACTCACACTGTGTGCAATAACAGTGTTTAACATGATTTTTAAATGACTACCTCATCTCTGTACCCCACACATACAATTATCTGTAAGGTCCCTCAGTCGAGCAGTGAATTTCAAACACAGATTCAACCACAATGACCAGGGAGGTTTTCCAATGCCTCGCAAAGAAGGGCACCTATTGGTAGATGGGTAAAAGAAAATTAAAAGCAGACATTGAATATCCCTTTGAGCATGGTGAAGTTATTAATTACACTTTAGATGGTTTATCAATACCCCCAGTCACTACAAAGATACAGGCGTCCTTCCTAACTCCGTTGCCGGCGAGGAAGGAAACCGTTCAGGGATTTCACCATGAGGCCGATGGTGACTTAAAAACAGTTATAGATTTTAATTGCTGTGATAGGAGAAAACTGAGAATGGATCAACAACATTGTAGTTACTCCACAATACTAAACTAATTGACAGAGTGAAAAGAAGGAAGCTTGTATAGAATAAAAATATTCCAAAACATGCATCCTGGTTGCAACAAGGCACTAAAGTAACACTGCAAAAATTGTGGCAAAACAATTACATTTTTGCCTGAATACAAAGTCCAGTACAACACATTACTGAGTACCACTCTCCATATTTTCAAGCATAGTGGTGGCTGCATCATGTTATGGGTGTGCTTGTAACCATTAAGGACTGGGGAGTTTTTCAGCATAAAAAAACTGTTTTAGTCTGCTTTCCACCAGACACTGGGAGATGAATTTACCTTTCAGCAGAAGAATGACCTAAAACAGGTCAAATCTACACTGGAGTTGCTTACCAAGAAGACAGTGAATGTTCCTGAGTGGCCGAGTTACAGTTTTGAATTAAATCTACATGAAAATCTATGGCAAGACCTGAAAATGGTTCTCTAGCAATGATAAAAAATCAATTTGACAGAGCTTGAAGAATTTTGAAAAGAATAATAGGCAAATGTTGCACAATCCAAGAATTACACAGAAAGACTCACAGCTGTAGTTGCTGCCCAAGCTGTTTCTACAAAGTATTGACTCAGGGGTGTGAATACTTATGTAAATGAGATATTTCTGAAAACATGTTTTCACTTTGTCATTATGGGGTATTGTGTGTAGATGGGTGAGCAAAAAAATATGTTTAATCCATTTTGAATTCAGGCTGTAACACAACAGAATTAGGAATAAATCAAGGGGTATGAATACTTTCTGAAGGCACTGTATACAGTATTTTGTACCTCCTGGATACACAACGTTTACAGTAGCCTACAGTACATCAGTAGTTACAGTGAGGGAAAAAAGTATTTGATCCCCTGCTGATTTTGTACGTTTGCCCACTGACAAATAAATGATCAGTCTATATTTTTAATGGTAGGTTTATTTGAACAGTGAGAGACAGAATAACAACAACAAAATCCAGAAAAACGCATGTCAAAAATGTTATAAATTGATTTGCATTTTAACGAGGGAAATAAGTATTTGACCCCCTCTCAATCAGAAAGATTTCTGGCTCCCAGGTATCTTTTATACAGGTAACGAGCTGAGATTAGGAGCACACTCTTAAAGAAGCAATCAATCAATCAGATTCCAAACTCTCCAACATGGCCAAGACCAAAGAGCTCTCCAATGATGTCAGGGACAAGATTGTAGACCTACACAAGGCTGGAATGGGCTACAAGACCATCGCCAAGCAGCTTGGTGAGAAGGTGACAACAGCTGGAGCGATTATTCGCAAATGGAAGAAACACAAAATAACTGTCAATCTCCCTCGGCCTGGGGCTCCATGCAAGATCTCACCTCGTGGAGTTGCAATGAGCATGAGAACGGTGAGGAATCACCCTAGAACTACACGGGAGGATCTTGTCAATGATCTCAAGGCAGCTGGGACCATAGTCACCAAGAAAACAATTGGTAACACACTACGCCGTGAAGGACTGAAATCCTGCAGCGCCCGCAAGGTCCCCCTGCTCAAGAAAGCACATATACAGGCCCGTCTGAGGTTTGCCAATGAACATCTGAATAATTCAGAGGAGAACTGGGTGAAAGTGTTGTGGTTAGATGAGACCAAAATCGAGCTCTTTGGCATCAACTCAACTCACCGTGTTTGGAGGAGGAGGAATGCTGCCTATGACCCCAAGAACACCATCCCCACCGTCAAACATGGAGGTGGAAACATTATGCTTTGGGGGGTTTTTTCTGCTAAGGGGACAGGACAACTTCACCGCATCAAAGGGACGATAAACGGGGCCATGTACCGTCAAATCTTGGGTGAGAACCTCCTTCCCTCAGCCAGGGCATTGAAAATGGGTCATGGATGGGTATTCCAGCATGACAATGACCCAAAACACACGGCCAAGGCAACAAAGGAGTGGCTCAAGAAGAAGCACATTAAGGTCCTGGAGTGGCCTAGCCAGTCTCCAGACCTTAATCCCATATAAAATCTGTGGAGGGAGCTGAAGGTTCGAGTTGCCAAACATCAGTCTCGAAACCTTAATGACTTGGAGAAGATCTGCAAAGAGGAGTGGAACAAAATCCCTCCTGAGATGTGTGCAAACCTGATGGCCAACTACAAGAAACGTCTGACCTCTGATTGCCAACAAGGGTTTTGCCACCAAGTACTAAGTCATGTTTTGCAGAGGGGTCAAATACTTATTTCCCTCTTTAAAATGCAAATCAATTTATAACATTTTTGATATGCGTTTTTCAGGATGTTTCTGTTGTTATTCTGTCTCTCACTGTTCAAATAAACCTACCATTAAAATTATAGACTGATCATGTTTTTGTCAGTGGGCAAACGTACAAAATCAGCAGGGGATCAAATACTTTTTCCCTCACTGTATGAAAGCTTTGACATAGGCAACTGGCCTGTCAGCGTGTTGTCATACCAAACAAAAGCCCTGAGGAAGCATCTCAGTGTGTCCACAAGGGATTGTGTACTACAGTAATTGTTTTTAACTGTAAAGGTTATTCACTTTTATCCCTCTCCTTCACAGACTGATTAAAGTAGTGTTAATTGCCCGCAGAGAAGGATTTTGAAGGAGCTATCCCAGTGGGATATATGTATGGTGTATGTGCTGTGCTGTGCTGTGTGTAAGCTTGTGTTCATATGTGTGTAGAGTATGTGTGTGTTCATTAACACGTGTATAGAGCATAACACTCACTCGTAGAAGCCAGTAGCTCTTTGCAGTGTATCTCTGACGTCTGGTGGGAGGTCCCCAGGGTCCTGGGTGCAGCCCCATAACTGCTGCTTCCCCTTGGCATGGAACACGTTCCCTATATTATACAAAGCCCTTGCCTCTCCCACCTGGTCAGAAAGGGAAAAGGGAGAAAGCAATGAGCAACTTTAGAATACAAATAGAGACATTGGAAGACATTATGGAATTTTTCAACTGAAATAGCATGGACCACACTCAACAGTTATTTTCAATACAACACGCCGTTCCTCAAAATCTGATGAAAGGTACTAAACAGATGCAATCCTCCAATCCAATGTGATGCCGGTGTGTGTGTGTTTGAGTGTGTGTGTGTGTACGCTACCTTGTCCCCTTGCTCTTGAGAGATGTCCAGGTGTCTCTGACAGCACACTGCCGCCTCGTCGAAGCGCCCTAAAACCTTCAGCGTGTTTCCAAGGTTACCACTGGCTTTCCCTTCCCCTATCCTGTCCCCTATTGTCCTGAGAATAGAGACCATATCTCATTATCAGTCATGGTTTTCAAGTTATAATCAATCATAGCCTGTGTTCCAGATCCGTTATTGCTGTCTTGCCAAATCCATTGCTGTCATTGTCAGTACAAAAACACAGTTAGAGGAGCATGGCGCTTGCAACGTCAAGATTGTGGGTTCGATTACCCCTGGGACCACCCATGCGAAACATTTATGCACGCATGACTGTAAGTTGCTTTTGGATAAAGGCATCTGCTAAATGGCATATATATATTGTTATATTACTTAGATCTTTATTGATTTGATTATCTAACTGTCTGACAGGTACCTTCCTTCTTAGGACAGGGTTCCAGTTGTCCTGCTGTTATTGTAATGTATCAAGGCAGCAGCCCCCTGGCTTTGTAATCGCCTCCCTGCCAGGCTACCAACTGCACCCCTCTCCACAGGAGACAGGCTTAGCCATCTGAGCTAAATACCAAGGGGGTCCCTCATCGAAATTAACAATATCAAACTCTCATATTTATCTAGCAGGGCAACTCTGTACAGTATCCAACCCATAATGAATGATAACTGTTTACTCTCTTATGCTTTATGAATGACTTCAGTATAAATTAAATACACATTCATTGCAGTCTATACAATTTATCTTTTAAACATGTTGAAATCCTTCAACTACAATTTGAATCCATGATCAGACATGATGTTGCCTGGTATTCCGTGGCCTCACCTGGCCAGAGTGAGGTCGTGTCTGTGGTACTCCAGGGCCTTGCCGTATTCCTTCAGGTAGAAGTAGGCATTGCCCAGCTGGCTGTAGATGGCACTGAGGGTCTTCAGGTCTTCTGTTCCCACCTGCACAGCCGCCTCGAAAAACGCTGTCCCCCCTTTAAAGTCCCCCGCCTTACACAGCCTCTCTCCCTCCAGGGCCAATTCCAGACATGAAGCCTCCATCCTGAATACACACATACACATATGGACAGAGAAAGAGAGAAATAACATCAGTGTCCCTCTGACGTTACCATGGCAATTGTGTCCGAAAACTCTGTCACAATAGCTAGGTTTCCATCCAATTGGCGACAGATTTTCATGCAAACATTCTAAAATCCGTATAAAGAAAACGGTGCAATTTCCCACCAATGGTGTGTTTCCACCAAACAGACTTGTTGAGGATAAAAGTCAGTGTGTGATGACGTAGTGCACACAAAATGTACTGAACAAAAATCTAAAGTTCAATGTGTTTCCATCGCATTTTCAACTCTACTAATAGTTTTGGCACATTTGCTATTTAACACAAACGTTTTTGTGACTACTCTGGTCTTGGTGGGTGCGCTCTAGCCAACAGCTAGCAAATACAGTGCGGGTAGGCTGTGAGGGTAGGCTTATCTACATGATGAGATTATTATGGATAAGGATATTTTTATTTGTCAAACGGCAGTCAAGCATCAATCATCATGTCACCAGAATAAGACCCTTGATATGTCTTGGAAAGGAGCATCAAGATCTCTGTGCACTTTCACCACCCTGTGAAGTTCATCATAACTTAATAAACTGCATAGTTTCCCTAGTCATAGTGGGAGGACCACACATTTTATAATCGCGTGACTCCAAGTTTACTTTTTATGGTTATGATATGATGGTTATTATATCAATATTTGCGCATATACACTACCGGTCAAAAGCTTTAGAACACCTACTCATTCAAGGGTTTTTCTTTATTTTTACTATTTTCTATGTTGTAGAATAATAGTGAAGACATCAAAACTATGAAATAACACATATGGAATCATGTAGTAACCAAAAAAGTGCTAAACGAATCATAAAATATTCAAATAGCTACCCTTTGCCTTGATGACAGCTTCGCAGACTCTTGGCATTCTCTCAACCAGCTTCATTTACATTTACATTTTAGTCATTTAGCAGACGCTCTTATCCAGAGCGACTTACAGGAGCAATTAGGGTTAAGTGCCTTGCTCAAGGGCACAGACAGATTTTTCACCTAGTCGGCTCGGGGATTAGAACCAGCAACCTTTTGGTTACTGGCACAACGCTCTTAACCACTAAGCTACCTGCCGCCTCCGCCCGCTTCACCTGGAATGCTTTTCCAACAGTCTTGAAGGAGTTCCTACATATGCTGAGCACTTGTTGGCTGCTTTTCCTTCACTCTGCAGTCCAACTCATCCCAAACCATCTCAATTTGGTTGAGGTCGGGGGATTGTGGAGGTCAGGTCATCTGATGCATCACTCCAATCACTCTCCTTCTTGGTAAAATAGCCCTTACACAGCCTGGAGGTATGTTGGGTCATTGTCCTGCTGAAAAACAAATGATAGTCCCACTAAACCCAAACCAGATGGGATGGTGTATCGCTGTAGAATGCTGTGGTAGCCATGCTGGTTAAGTGTGCCTTGAATTCTAAATAAATCACAGACAGTGTCACCAGCAAAGCACCCCCACACCATAATACCTCCTCCTCCATGCTTTACGGTGGGAAATACACATGCGGAGATCATCCGTTCACCCACACCATGTCTCACAAAGACACGGCGGTTGGAACCAAAAATCTCCAATTTGGACTCGAGACCAAAGGACACATTTCCACCTGTCCAATGTCCATTGCTCGTGTCTCTTGGCCCAAGCAAGTCTCTTCTTATTATTGGTGTCCTTTAGTGGTGGTTTCTTTGCAGCAATTCGACCATGAAGGCCTGATTCACACAGTCTCTTCTGAACAGTTGATGTTGAGATGTGTCTGTTACTTGAACTCTGTCAAGCATTTATTTGGGCTGCAATTTCTGAAGCTGGTAACTCTAATTAACTTATCCTCCGCAGCAGAGGTAACTCAGGGTCTTCCATTCCTGTGGCGGTCCTCATGAGAGCCAGTTTCATCATAGCGCTTGATGGTTTTTGCGACTGCACTTGAAGAAACTTTCAAAGTTCTTGAAATGTTCCGTATTGACTGACCTTCATGTCTTAAAGTAATGATGGACTGTCGTTTCTCTTTGCTTATTTGAGCTGTTCTTGCCATAATATGGACTTGGTCTTTTACCAAATAGGGCTATCTTCTGTATACCCCCCCACCACCTTGTCACAACACAACTGATTGGCTCAAACGCATTAAGGGAAGAAATTCCACAAATTAACTTTTAATAAGGCACAGCTATTTATTGAAATGCATTCCAGGTGACAACATCATGAAGCTGGTTGAGAGCATGCCAAGAGTCTGCAAAGCTGTCATCAAGGCAAAGGGTGGCTATTTGAAGAATCTCAAATATAAAATATATTTTGATTTGTTTAACACTTTTTTGGTTACTACATGATTCCATATGTGTTATTTCATAGTTTTGATGTCTTCACTATTATTCAACAATGTAGAAAATTGTAAAAATTAAGAAAAACCCTTGAATGAGTAGGTGTTCTAAAACTTTTGACCGGTAGTGTAGGTGTTTCCACCACCATTTCCCACATAATTAAATTTAATAACACAAAAAGATCCCACCATGTCGAACGAACAAATCATCTGTCGGCATTTATAAAATTGTACCGAAACTACCTGTTTCCATCACAGCTGTCATGATTTTTTTTCCCTGTGTGACTTTACTCGCATAAAAACTGTAGATGGAAACGTGGTTTATGTCTCCATGGCAACAGTGTCTGAATGCATATCACTGTGCAGTTACCATGGCAAGAGTGTCAGAAGAATCACCGTCACTCTGACATGAGTACCTTGGAGACATTGTCCTTTCAGCTCCTCTATCTCATCTCTATCTTTCCATAATGCTACTATTTAAAGTCCAGTTGATATGGTAAAGATAACTGACATCTTTCCTTCCCTGCATTGAGAATGAGGGTCTCAGCCTCCCAGAGCTGTCCAGCCCACACATTCTAGTTCAGTCTGGTTTAACCAGGCTAGTGTTGAAGTGATGCAGGTCTTAAAGGCTGCAGTGGGGGTCATTAGAGTGAAACAATGGGAAACACCTCATCTCCACACTGACAATAAGGAAGGAGACTGAATTCATATCACTACACACAAAACCTCATGACCAATGAACATGCTCCTTGGAGTCATTTACAGATTTCCTTGCCCAATCAAACACAGGCTTTTTGTCAATGTTGTCAAAGCTAAATATTATTCAGCATACTGTAGGGCCTCCAACATATAGCCCAAGACTACAATTATCAAGAGTCTGGGTTTAGTCAACATAATAACTATATTCTCTTTAGAATTACAGTATACATGCCATATACAGTATATGCCAGAAATAACTGCTGTAGAGCCAGGTCACAAGGCTCTGAGGTACACGGTCACTCCATTCCCTCTCACCCTCCAGAATGCCTTAGTTATGTTACCATTGTTACATAATAATATGCATGCCTACCCTCTTTCTGAACTTTGCATAACAGTTTTTGCCATACAAAACTATCCAAAATCTTTGTAAAGTTAAATATCTTACTCCCACTGCCTTTTCAACGATGCCTGAAGCCTGATGTGATTGTACAGCACTGTGACAGACTTGTTTTCAAGGAAAATGAGTTCTACTTCATTCTTTTAGTACCCGTGGTCTGAAATCCATTCCACAGAAATCTGGCATAAATCGCTCAGCAAGCCTCATTCCTGAGTCTATTCCAAGACCTTCCCCACAGTCATCTGAGAATCATTGCTACAGTACGATGAAAGCAAATGAAATGAAATACCAATGTGGATTCTGTTATGTTATTGTTAAAAACGCAAAAGATACGACACTGGTTCTTCAGCCAGCTCACTCTAGAGTTGAGTGTAGATTAGCCCCACAGTTTAATCTAGATGTAAATATGATTAGTAGCTATTTATTTGACAGTACACTACTTCACTGGTATTTACTTACAAATGACATGGTATTAATACACAAAAATTACTATTTTCATCAATTTCCAAGGGATTCATTGGCATAAATAACTTGTTAAGTACTGTAAGACGTATGACTTATGCACCACCTGACACTGATTTGTCCCAAATAGGTTGGAAATGGAATGACTTGAAATAAGTAGCCAACCTATACAGTAGCAGTCAGCATCTACGCTATATCTTGAGCAAATAGCATAATAGTACAGTGAAATTAAGTGCTACGTCTGAGCCTGCTGTCGGCAGGACTTCCACCAATACCTGTGTTTCTGTTTAGTGCAGGTCTTATCCACATACACCCCCAGCTCCAGCCTTATGGGCCTCAGCAGGGCCCGCGGTCTGGGGCCCCGGTGGACCAGCCTGCACACAGCTCTCTGGGCCCCGGTGAGATGGCAAGAGTCAGACGACATGGGGTACCAGGTCAACTTAAGGCACTGAAAGGCACTCCTTAGCCTCAGGGATATGTGGCGTAAGGTCAAACTTTAGGGTGTGGAGGTGAACGTGAATGCAACATTTCACATATGCTAATGTTATACTCCAGAGTTGTGCTAGAGAATCCAGGTGCAAAAACATAGCAATACTCTGCTCCAACCAGGACACGCATACACACACACAACCAGTTTTGAGATGGGGGGGCTTTGTGTGTCCCCGATAAGTCAATATGCAAGCAGATGTCCAACAGCCACGTCAGATTCAATTGATTATTCCAGTAGTCAAATACGCCAATGTCAGCAACAGTGCAGCCAGACCACTTGGACAGAAACCCATTGGAGATACTATGCACGCTTTAAAGCCAAGCACAACATCTGTTGCTCAGGTGTCCCCAAATGCTGCCCAAAGTACTAATGATGAACCTCTGAAGCGATCCGAACAATGACAAGGATCCCAAAAACACCTTCAAATTAGAATCCACAAACTCCTAACAAAGCAACAATGTTATTCCTTTCAACACCACAGATGTCTTCTATGGATATCCACAAAAGCAAAACTCCACAATTCTACAGAAGCACTGTAAGAGGCAGGTTAACAGGTGAGTCAGTAAATGACTGTATTGTGTTGTCCTGCCTAGGTAGTATTGTACAGTCCATCTCTCAACCAGCACTGAGTGACTGAGTGCTGTAGTCTATCTATTTCTGCTGAGCCACACTGAGAGAAGGGGAAGTGTCTTGGAGCGAGGATCCTGGGTGACAGCGGGTGACAACAGTGTGACACCAGCGTCTCAGCAGAACCGGTGCCCCAGTGAGTGAGTGAGTGAGTGAGTGAGTGAGAGAGAGAATCTAATCCGAACCTTAATCCAATGATCTGCAGCTCCTCTGTGGAGGACATACAGCGATCCAGGCAGTCTGGTCTAATCCAGCTATCTGCTGACCCTGACATATATTCTAATAGGGCCACAGCACATGGTCTGGCACATTGACCAGCCCCAGAGGTAGAAGGGTAAAAGCAGGGAGGTGACATGGGGAAGAATATCTTTGAAGAAAGTTTGATTGCATTCCCCGAACACACACCCATACCCTTGATATCTTACATTATATACAATCTTCACTAAAGATAAACACAGGTTTACAAATCCAAAACAAATTGCAGTCAGTACACAATTGGTTTTGATCCCATTAAATATGGAATATTTGGCATTATATTTTTGCCTGCTCTATTTCATGCATTAGGGTGCTTTTGATGAGTAAAGAGCCCGAGTTATATAATCAGTTCTCATTTGATTGGTAAAGAGAAACATAGAGAGAAGTACAGGCCTCTGGAAGGGAAAACAGGACAAACTGTCTGTTGGTCTCCAAGGGTTACTGGGTTAGAATTGGGTAGGATAAGAGGGCTAAGAGGTTTTAGCTTAGATGGATCCTTTAGCCCCTATAGCTCCTATAGTCTGAAGAGGAGGAGAGAGAAATCTACATTAAACTTAAATATATAATTTTGTTCCTTTTAGAAGAAGAAACATAAGTGAAAACTCCAAACAGGTTTAAAACCTCTGGTATACTGTGACATAGGGCCTGAGACTGTGTGGACCCCTAAGCCAACAAATGACGGGAATAGATCAATTAATTACCAATTCATCACAGACAGCTGGGCCATTGTCTAGGAGTTGAGCACTCCTGCTGTCTTGTGATCACAAAGGGGCAGTGAGCTGAGTGTTTTGATCACAGCACTGGCTTCTGGGTAGGTTAGGTTAGGGTTTCTACCAGGCCAGTGTCTCTCTATTAGCTCCATGTCCACACCCCAGAGCCTTGTCTTTGATCTTTGGGCTCTCATGGCTGGTGGTCAAAATCAGAGGGAGGGAAACCCTGTGCACTTAAAACTGACCTGACAATTGTTTGACCTTCATAGCTATGCCTAGCCAGCCATAAGAGGATAGGCTCCCTCTCAAAGGTCTGAGTGGTGTACTAAGAATCTGGTTTGAGGAGTTAGCGAGCTAACTTTGGTCAACTCTGAGTTCAACTTGGGATAACCAGTGACACGAAAGTCTCACAGCTTTTAGCCAGGTACATTTCTACAGCAATGAATCCTTCAGAACTAACCTGTTTCAGGGCAGGCTAACTCCACTTAGCCTGAATGAAGTGTCTGAGCCGCAAGTTGATGACCAATGAAATCAGATTCCCTCCCTCTCGCAAAGATTGCATCATCATCCCCTTCATTTGAGGAAGACAACTGATTAAAGGTGCAATATGCAGAAATCGCTCGGCCATTTCCTGATTGCAAAAAGTCTAATAGCTGGCCTAATTTTAGTTTATGTGACAAAACAAGCAATGTTTAGTATAGAGAATCATTGTACCATCTAAACCGCTGTGAAATTATACAGTATCTTTTCAATAACCCAAAATATTGTATTATCAGCTGTTTGAAGCTGGTGTACAAAACCGAATGTAAAAGACACAAAAACAAAACTTAAGAACAGGAAGCATAGAAAAAGTGCACATAGAACAGATCTACCGCTTCTTAGACTTGCTTTCAATGAGAATGACAGATCAATAACTAACATTTCTATGTGAATTTGGTAGGGTCGCCCAAAAAGTTACATAATGCAGCTTTAAATATTTCATTCATCAAATGTTTTTTGTGTAAAAAAAATACCTATCACAGTACACATTTAGTAATGACAGGACTTCACGCACAGTAAAACTTTTGTATGACTTTAAACAATTATTTCATCTATAGGAGTGGGGGGAAAAGGTGCTCCTGCATTGACAAGCACACCAAAGACGGCATTAATGATACGTAAGTTAATAAAAGAAAGACAGACGGCACTTCTAATAGCCTATTTCACACCATAGCCTCCTGAATTTGCAAGATCACTTTTCTTTCATGTTGATTTCAGCAAAAATAACAATGTGGCACTGACTCGCCCATAGATTGATGGTTTAGTATTGTCTCAATGAAAGAGTTTGGCGTTCGATTAGCCATGTTTAACATGCACACGCAGTTACAAGCCTGCTAGAGTTAGCAGCAGGCGGACAAGCAATACCCACCTTCGTAATATGGATGAAGCCTGAGCTGGAATGTGAAGCTATAGCTAACTTCCGAAAAGACAGAGTACATCTAGCTAGATTCGTAGTACACCACTCAGGTTCCTCTCAATGTTTTTATCCTTCAGCTTTTTCATTGGTTAGCTACTGTTGTAGCCCTAAATTTCTTATTTTGTCTTGGTTAGTGAAAATGGTAGATTTCTGTACATCCCTTCACCACCACCTTACTGGAACACTGTTTAAAAACGTAACCAGTGAAGATGCAAGAGTTTGGTTTTGTCTTGTTTGCATTCTTTAAAATCATAAGCTGCAACCTACACTGCATTACCACAGCCTTTCATGCTTGTAGTTAGCCTAATCTCAAATGACGGCACATTAGCATTGGAGTCCAGTGTGATTAAAGAGAGAAGGGCAATTAGCTGAGAGTGCTAAGACGATTGTGCTACTGACCAACCGTATAGTCAGAGTCAGAGACAGGTCAGAGCCCTGAAAACACAACCTGGAGACTTACGAACAAGTAGGCCAACCAGGGAGTAGTCTTACCAGGTAGTGACATGGTATGTATCAGACTGACTGATCTACAAATCACCTCGCATCCTAAAATACCTACTTATTATTATTTGTAGATCAGTCAGACTGTCACCATTCACCCACAATGCATCACAAATGTGATGCTCTCATACCCGGCCAAATGGCATTATAAACAAACCTACGGAGGACACTCATTAAACCCTATATCAGTAGTTACTGTATATCGGTGTTTGCGCTTTGCTGTGTGGCCTGAACATTTATTCAGTGCAGGGGAAAAACATAAATTATGTTTTCCAGAGAAGAACAGATCATAAAATGAGTTAGGACTAGGAGGATTCCGAGGGAGAAAACAAAAATATTATAACACAGGCAAGGTTTAGTTTAATATTTACCCAGGCATTTGATATCCGAATTGTCATTTGCACTGTAAGGTTACTGAAGGAGCCAGGGGTGTATTCAGCAGGACGCAACATTTTGTTACGTTCAGATATAGATACAGCATGGTATGTAGAATAAACACACCTCTCTGTTAGAACAAGGAATCACATCAGATCTATTCATGGGATTTCTATCTGCAACGTTCCACGCAGTTTGGCTACTGAACGCAGACCCAATCTGAGCCAGGAAAAACCTCCAAAGATTAACTCTGAAACTGTCCAATAATATAAAGTCCTCTCCAGGAGTGAGGTCCAAAGAAATGCCAGACGTACACCAGAGAGAGAAGGACATTTAGTTTCTGGTGGGATCAAAAGGGGAGCCATGGTTACTCAGGGCCAAAAATAGTATTTTAAAAGGAATAATAATATTTTCCCTCAGTGACGGTTGGTCTCTGCATAGTAACACTAAGTCAACGCTGAGTCCCCATAATATCCCAGTAGAAAAATCTGTAATGTGGTCTTATTGTAGATATCGTGATTTGGTGTTCTAAAATGGGTAGTGGAATTATGGTTTAGTCTGGAAAGGGAGGGTTTTTATTATTGTAGCATTTTATTTTTTTACCTTGGCTGTCTTCATGAATTACTTTATATTATAGTTAAGGATAAGGAAATTACAACACACACACAGAGAGAGAGAGAGAAAAAAAACAAGCAAGGGGAGAGCTGTTTAGCTTAAACCACTGAATTTAGAAGCCTTCCAGACAAACAATAATCACACAGCATGTGTCATAAAACACCATCATGCCTCTGAGCCACAAAGCAGTAGGGTTGTTCCATCAATTCAGTGCCTTTTGAGAAGTCGGTGTAAAAACATCTTTACATTGTCATTAAGAGCACAAATTCAACTTAATAAAAAACACGTTTTCCCATTTCAAGAGCTAACATTTTATTGAAAAAAGTATAGCGAGGGCCTATTAAGTGCCAAATAAAGTAACAGGGTTGACCGTAACAGGGTTGACCGTAACAGGTTTGACGATTTCATCTTGAATCAGCCGTGAATCCACTTGTGACAGGGGGAATGGAAGCTGGTTTTGTGCAACAGGGAGTGGAAATTGAACATACAGTGGCTTGCGAAAGTATTCACCCCCCTAGGCATTTTTCCTATTCTGTTGCCTTACAAACTGGAATTAAAATTGATTTTTTGCGAGTTTGTATCATTTGATTTAAACAACATGCCTACCACTTTGAAGATTTTTGTGAAACAAACAAGAAAAAAAATAAGAAACCTTGAGCGTGCATAACTATTCACCCCCCTAAAAGTCAATACTTTGTAGAGCCACCTTTTGCAGCAATTACAGCTGCAAGTCTCTTGGGGTATGTCTCTATAAGCTTGGCACATCTAGCCACTGGGATTTTTGCCCATTCTTCAAGTCAAAACTGCTCCTGCTCCAGCTCCTTATAATAATAATAATAATAATAATATGCCATTTAGCAGACGCTTTTATCCAAAGCGACTTACAGTCATGCGTGCATACATTTTTTTGTGTATGGGTGGTCCCGGGGATCGAACCCACTACCTTGGCGTTACAAGCGCCGTGCTCTACCAGCTGAGCTACAGAAGATGCAACATATTTTTTTGGGGTGAAACAAAGAAGAAATAACACAATAAAACTGAAAACTTGAGCATAAATAACTATTCACCCCCCCCCAAAGTCAATACTTGGTAGAGCCACCTTTTGCAGCAACTACAGCTGCAAGTCTCTTGGGGTATGTATCTATAAGCTTGGCACATCTAGCCACTGGGATTTTTGCCCATTCTTCGAGGCAAAACTGCTCCAGCTCCTTCAAGTTGGATGGGTTCCGCTGGTGTACAGCAATCTTTAAGTCATACCACAGATTCTCAATTGTATTGAGGTCTGGGCTTTGACTAGGCCATTCCAAGACATTTAAATGTTTCCCCTTAAACCACTCGAGTGTTGCTTTAGCAGTATGCTTAGGGTCATTGTCCTGCTGGAAGGTGAACCTCTGTCCCAGTCTCAAATCTCTGGAAGACTGAAACAGGTTTTCCCTCAAGAATTTCCCTGTATTTAGCGCCATCCATCATTCCTTCAAATTCTGACCAGTTTCCCAGTCCCTGCCGATGAAAAACATCCCCACAGCATGATGCTGCCACCACCATGCTTCACTGTGGGGATGGTGTTTCGGGGTGATGAGAGGTGTTGGGTTTGCGCCAGACCTAGCGTTTTCCTTGATGGCCAAAAAGCTCAATTTTAGTCTCATCTGACCAGAGTACCTTCTTCCACATGTTTGGGGAGTCTCCCACATGCCTTTTGGCGAACACCAAACGTGTTTGCTTATTTTTTTCTTTAAGCAATGGCTTTTTTTCTGCCCACTCTTCCGTAAAGCCCAGCTCTGTGGAATGTACAGCTTAAAAAGTGGTCCTATGGACAGATACTCCAATCTCCGCTGTGGAGCTTTGCAGCTCCTTCAGGGTTATCTTTGGTCTCTGTTGCCTCTCTGATTGGGCGGCCCTCTCTTGGCAGGTTTGTTGTGGTGCCATATTCTTTCAATTTTTTAATAATGGATTTAATGGTGCTCCGTGGGATGTTCAATGTTTCTAAATATTAAAAAAAAATCTAACTTAGAATCTAAGCTTGGTGGTGCCTCTTGCTTAGTGGTGTTGCAGACTCTGGTGCCTTTCAGAACAGGTGAACAGTGGGGAGAACAAGTATTTGATACACTGCCGATTTTGCAGGTTTTCCTACTTACAAAGCATGTAGAGGTCTGTAATTTTTTTATCATAGGTACACTTCAACTGTGAGAGACGGAATCTAAAACAAAAATCCAGAAAATCACATTGTATGATTTTTAAGTAATTCATTTGCATGACATAAGTATTTGATACATCAGAAAAGCAGAACTTAATATTTGGTACAGAAACCTTTGTTTGCAATTACAGAGATCATACGTTTCCTGTAGGTCTTGACCAGGTTTGCACACACTGCAGCAGGGATTTTGGCCCAATCCTCCAAACAGACCTTCTCCAGATCCTTCAGGTTTCGGGGCTGTCGCTGGGCAATACGAACTTTCAGCTACCTCCAAAGATTTTCTATTGGGTTCAGGTCTGGAGACTGGCTAGGCCACTCCATGACCTTGAGATGCTTCTTATGGAGCCACTCCTTAGTTGCCCTGGCTGTGTGTTTTGGGTCGTTGTCATGCTGGAAGACCCAGCCACGACCCATCTTCAATGCTCTTACTGAGGGAAGGAGGTTGTTGGCCAAGATCTCGTGATACATGGCCCCATCCATCCTCCCCTCAATACGGTGCAGTCGTCCTGTCCCCTTTGCAGAAAAGCATCCCCAAATAATTATGTTTCCACCTCCATGCTTCACGGTTGGGATGGTGTTCTTGGGGTTGTATTCATCCTTCTTCTTCCTCCAAACACGGCGAGTGGAGTTTAGACCAAAAAGCTCTATTTTTGTCTCATCAGACCACATGACCTTCTCCCATTCCTCCTCTGGATCATCCAGATGGTCATTGGCAAACTTCAGAGGGGCCTGGACATGCGCTGGCTTGAGCAGGGGGACCTTGCGTGCGCTGCAGGATTTTAATCCTTGACGGCGTAGTGTGTTACTAATGGTTTTCTTTGAGACTGTGGTCCCAGCTCTCCTCAGGTCATTGACCAGGTCCTGCCGTGTAGTTCTGGGCTGATCCCTCACCTTCCTCATGATCATTGATGCCCCACGAGGTGAGATCTTGCATGGAGCCCCAGACTGAGGGTGATTGACCGTCATCTTGAACTTCTTCCATTTTCTAATAATTGCGCCAACAGTTGTTGCCTTCTCACCAAGCTGCTTGCCTATTGTCCTGTAGCCCATCCCAGCAGGTCTACAATTTTATCCCTGATGTCCTTACACAGCTCTCTGGTCTTGGCCATTGTGGAGAGGTTGGAGTCTGTTTGATTGAGTGTGTGGACAGGTGTCTTTTATACAGGTAACGAGTTCAAACAGGTGCAGTTAATACAGGTAATGAATGGAGAACAGGAGGGCTTCTTAAAGAAAAACTAACAGGCCTGTGAGAGCTGGAATTCTTACTGGTTGGTAGGTGATCAAATACTTATGTCATGCAATAAAATGCAAATTAATTACTTAAAAATCATACAATGTGATTTTCTGGATTCCGTCTCTCACAGTTGAAGTGTACCTATGATCAAAATTACAGACCTCTACATGCTTTGTAAGTAGGAAAATCTGCAAAATCGGCAGTGTATCAAATACTTGTTCTCCCCACTGTATATATACTGAGATCATGTGACAGATCATGTGACACTTAGACTGCACACAGGTGGACTTTATTTAACTAATTGTGTGACTTCTGAAGGTAATTGGTTTTACCAGATCTTATTTAGGGGCTTCATAGCAAAGGGGGTGAATACATATGCACGCACCACTTTTCCGTTATTTATTTTTTAGAATTTTTTGATACAAGTTATTTTTTTCATTTCACTTCACCAATTTGGACTATTTTGTGTATGTGCATTACATGAAATCCAAATAAAAATCCATTTAAATTACAGGTTGTAATGCAACAAAATAGAAAAAACGCCAAGGGGGATGAATATTTTTGCAAGGCACTGTAAGCTTCACAGAAAAATGCAATTGTTAAAACATTTCTAGCCTGTCTATTTATGGGTAACAGGGTTGACGTGTTATGCTCGACCCGCTCAGTTTCCCACCACAAAACACCACAAAATGGCCAAAAAGAGTAGAACCAGCTCACCTGCTTTCACACTATTATTTGACTATTAGAAGTTCAATGTTTCTTTTGAAATACATTTTAAAAAGGAATACTTTCCCTATATTAAAACGAGACTTCAGTTCACGTAACAAGGTTGACCTTAAAATGACACACAGATGTAAATGAATCCCTAATCAGATTAAATAAATAATAATCTTCAGAAGTGACTTTGTCAAAGCAATACAATAACTAGGGCTTTACAATTATGGTGAAAACTTAATGCAAGTCTTTATTCATATAGAAAATCAGATTTATGGAATTCTCCATGTGGTCTATATTAAAGGCTTTTAATATTGGTGCACAATTTCTACGTAAAATATCAAAGGGGTGCAAAAGGCACTCTTTTCGTGGAACGACCCAGTAGTGTGAACATATATGGATACTTGGATGTCTCTTGCCTTGCATAAAGTTCACAGATGTTGGCTGTGAATTTTACAAGTCCTATGTAGAGTATGCTTGCTCTTCCCTGAAGACAAGTTATATGGGGAAAGTACACTACATGACCAAAAGTATGTGGATAACTGCTCGTCGAACATCTCATTCCAAAATCATGCGCCTTAATATGGAGTTGGTCCCCCCTTTGCTGCTATAACAGCCTCCACTCCTTTCCACTAGATGTTGGAACATTGCTGTGGCGACTTGCTTCCATTCAGCCACAACAGCATTAGTGAGGTTGGGCACTGATGTTGGGCGATTAGGCCTGGCTCGCAGTCGGCGTTCCAATTCATCTAAAAGGTGTTTGATGGGGTTGAGTTCAGGGTTTTTTGCAGGCCAGTCAAGTTCTTCCACACCGATCTCGACAAACCATTTCTGTATGGACCTCTCTTTGTGCACGGGGGCATTGTCATGCTGAAACAGGAAAGGGCCTTCCCCAAACAGCCCCAGACCATTATTCCTCCTCCACCAAACCTTACAGATGGCACTATGCATTGGGGAAGGTAGTGTTCTCCTGGCATCCGCCAAACCCAAATTCGTCCGTCGGACTGCCAGATGGTGAAGCGTGATTCATCACTCCAAAGAATGCGTTTCCACTGCTCCAGAGTCCAATGGAGGCGAGCTTTACACCACTCCAGCTGACGCTTGTCATTGCTTGTGTGCAGCTGCACGGCCATGGAAACCCATTTCATGAAGCTCCCGACGAACAGTTCTTGTGATGACATTGCTTCCAGAGGCAGTTTGTGACTCGGTAGTGAGTGTTGCAACCAAGCTCCTAGACATTTCCACGTCACAATAATAGAAATTACAATTGACCGGGGCAGCTCTAGCAAGGCAGAAATTTGACAAACTGACTGACTTGTTGGAAAGGTGCGTCACTGAGCTCTTCAGTAAGGTCATTCTACTGCCAATGTTTGTCTATGAAGATTGCATGGCTGTGTTCTCGATTTTATACACCTGTCAGCAACGGGTGTGGCTGAAATAGCCGAATCTACTAATTTGAAGGGGTGTCCACATACTTTTGTATATATAATGTATATACACTGTTTCCAATTAAACAGGTAGATGCTTCATCTATGTGCTCCATCTCCACACCCCAGCAGTAGTCGAGCATTATAGTGCAAATAAAAATGGAAGTCTTTGTTTTGATTGCGTAATCAGGGTTATTTTTGCATGACCTTTCCCTTGGACAGTTGAGTTGAACGAGTGAGAGAGGGAAAGCCATGCCAAATCCTAACAAAAAATGAGTGTGACTAACATTGACCTTCCAACAGAGAGAGAGAGACAGAGACAGAGACAGAGAGAGGGAGAGAGGGAGGGAGAGACAGACAGACAGACACACACAGACATACAGACCCACAGACAAGACAAATAGAAACAAAGGTAGTAAAGGAAATAACAAGAAAAATGCACTGAAATAAATTACATTACATTATTAGCATGTATGGGTTTTAAGGGTTTTAAGATGATTCTGGGTGTTATGATAATGTACTGTTCTCTTGGCTGGATCCTTGCTTGGCTCAGGAGCTCTGTGCTCAGAGTATTAATCCACCCATAATTACAGAGGCAAGGCTGGTTGTCAGGGAAACCTCATTACATGTCTCCGTTTTGGCTGATCCCGGTCTTCTCCTTCTCTCCATCTCACTTATTCTCTTGCTACATACTATTACATGGGGTCAACAGATATTACTGTGCATGGGATAAATGGGAAAAAAATTAGAAGAATGTAACCAAAAATACAATACTACATCACATTAGAGCAATACTAATTTGCCATATTTTCAATGCCTCTCAAAATAGAATGTTCTCTAAAAGCTATGGCGCACTTTGATTGAGGATATTACAGGGCCATAGAGGTAAACTGAATCCTCTTGTAGTATATCTACATCAATTGAATGCAATAGATAATGGAAAAAAAAAAAATTCATGAGCATGACCTTATTTCTATTACAGCATATTGATTGACTGTCATTCATTTTCCATTCACCCAGCTCAATGTAAGATCGTTAGGTTTAGGCTACTACATGATACTGTAATTTTCCCTATATCCATCATGAGGTTGCTACAACCTAGCCTATGAATGAAAGTTTACAACGTAGGTGCACAGGTTGAGATAAATAATTGAGTAATCAAGGTGACAGACAGTGACACATTCAATACCACCTTGCACACTCTTGCCTGCATCTAGCTGATCTAGGGTGTAATCATTAGTCAAACAGTTCCAAACAAGAGTATCTATTGAATCCATTTGCTTCCATTTAAGAAAAGTTTTTCAACAGAATCGGTGGAATGAATACACTCCTGATCACACGCAAACACAATTCTCTTTCATAGCAGCCACATACAAACAGCATGATCACTTTGCTCGTTGTAATCAATGTTTCCTCTAAGCTGCTCGCGGGCGTGCAGTAGCCCGAGACTTCCGCGCAGCTCCCCGGGACTGCCGCGCAGAAGAAATATCAGCCCACTGAGAGAAGCACGAGATTGAATTTCACTCAACTTTTTAGAGTTTTCCCTGTTAGTTAACACTATAAACGTTTCCCTTTACTGTGGCAATTGTGATCGAATCAAAGCAATATTAGCCACTTTCAATGCAACATAAAGAAACAAAACTAAATATGCAAGAGGTTTTGCTATAAGCAGAACGCTTCAGAGTAGGATTCTATTGCACATAACTCAGCCCGTACTCTACACAGACCGGTGCAGAATAACCACCAATCAGAGCTGCAGTAGGCCTATACAGTGCCTTGCAAAATTATTCATCCCCCTTGGCGTTTTTCCTATTTTGTTGCATTACAACCTGTAATTTAAATTGATTTTTATTTGGATTTCATGTAATGCACATACACAAAATAGTCCAAATTGGTGAAGTGAAATGAAAAAAATAACTTGTTTCAAGAAATTCAAAAAAATAAACAACGGAAAAGTGGTGCGTGCATATGTATTCACCCCCTTTCTTATGAAGCCCCTAAATAAGATCTGGTGCAACCAATTACCTTCAGAAGTCATCTAATTAGTTAAATAAAGTCCACCTATGTGCAATCTAAGTGTCACATGATCTGTCACACCTGTTCTGAAAGGCCCCAGAATCTGCAAGACCACTAAGCAAGGGACACCACCAAGCAAGCGGCACCATGAAGACCAAGGAGCTCTCCAAACAGGTCAGGGACAAAGTTGTGGAGAAGTACAGATCAGGGTTGGGTTCTAAAAAAATATCTGAAACTTTGAACATCCCACGGAGCACCATTAAATCCATTATAATTTTTTTTTACGAATATGGCACCACAACAAACCTGCCAAGAGAGGGCCGTCCACCAAAACTCACGGACCAGGCGAGGGCATTAATCAGAGAGGCAACAAAGAGACCAAAGATAACCCTGAAGGAGCTGCAAAGCTCCACAGCGGAGATTGGAGTATCTGTCCATAGGACCCCTTTTTAAGCCGTACACTCCACAGAGCTGGGCTTTATGGAAGAGTGGGCAGAAAAAAAGCCATTGCTTAAAGAAAAAAATAAGCAAACACGTTTGGTGTTCGCCAAAAGGCATGTGGGAGACTCCCCAAACATATGGAAGAAGGTACTCTGGTCAGATGAGACTAAAACGGAGCTTTCTGGCCATCAAGGAAAACGCTAGGTCTGGCGCAAACCCAACACCTCTCATCACCCCGAGAACACCATCCCCACAGTGATGCATGGTGGTGGCAGCATCATGCTGTGGGGATGTTTTTCATCGGCAGGGACTGGGAAACTGGTCAGAATTGAAGGAATGATGGATGGCGCTAAATACAGGGAAATTCTTGAGGGAAAACCTGTTTCAGTCTTCCAGAGATTTGAGACTGGGACGGAGGTTCACCTTCCAGCAGGACAATGACCCTAAGCATACTGCTAAAGCAACACTCGAGTGGTTTAAGGGGAAACATTTAAATGTCTTGGAATGGCGTAGTCAAAGCCCAGACCTCAATACAATTGAGAATCTGTGGTATGACTTAAAGATTGCTGTACACCAGCGAAACCCATCCAACTTGAAGGAGCTGGAGCAGTTTTGCCTTGAAGAATGGACAAAAATCCCAGTGGCTAGATGTGCCAGGTTTATAGAGACATACCCCAAGAGACTTGCAGCTGTAATTGCTGCAAAATGTGGCTCTACAAAGTATTGACTTTGGGTGGGTGAATAGTTATGCACGCTCAAGGTTTCTGTTTTTTTGTCTTATTTCTTGTGTTTCACAATAAAAAATATTTTGCATCTTCAAAGTGGTAGGCATGTTGTGTAAATCAAATGATACAAACCCCCAAAAAATCCATGTTAATTCCAGGTTGTAAGGCAACAAAATAGGAAAAATGCCAAGGGGGGTGAATACTTTCGCAAGCCACTGTATGCAAATAGACCACTGCCACATATGGATCTGTGCCATTTACTTTGAACTGGACTGTGTTTCCAGCTGTGGTCGTGAGTAGATGCGCTTGTTTTGATATCAAAGCTGCATGTAACCACGTGTGCACATTTTGTTAATATCCTAAAGTTAGTGAGTTATTAGCCCAGTTATAGATCATTTGTAATCAGAAATAGGGGAGCGATTGCTTCCTACAAGAGCACAAATCTTTGAAAAGCAAGTCAAAATAGCTTTTTTTTGTCTTAAAGGGGCAGTGTTGTATTTTGAGACAGGCTTGAATAAGCTAAGTAGCCAATAGGCAGAGGGTAGCATAATTTGTCTGATTCTCTATAATAATGGTATGGGAATAATAATGCATTTTATTTTGTAAAGTGGTTTCTTAAATCAAACAACACAACAACATTTTCAGTCACCTCCTTGTCTGAAGGACAAGTGGATAAACAGGTTAATGTCAAGCCCTGTATGTTTTTTTCAAAAGTCTCATGGAATGTAGGCCTACATTGAACACAACACATTGGCTGCTACTGTAGGCTGAATGATAGAACAGCTATCTCCATGTTCAAATGTTATGGAATGCATTTTCGCCATTGTTTTTGATGGTAGACCACCCTGGTAGGCCTACATTATGTATGGTCAAATAGCCACAGTAGCCTACTTGGCCACTGTTAAAACTGTAACTTAAAGCAGTGTTCACAGTAAACGTGCACTGGAAGTTGCACAGAATTTTCACAACGTTCAAGTTTGCGCTCAGCAGACCTAACATTTTCTCAGTGGCAAAAAAATGTGAGTGAACATTGGTAGTAATTCCTTCTCGCATCTACTCGCTTGCCTCCTCTCACCTTTTAACTTCGCTTGAGGAATTCAGTGCACAACACATCAGATGTCTGTGACCAGGTGAAAAAACCTTTCCAAGCCAAACCTTCATATCATAACCGTTAACCTCTCTGTACACACAGCCTACATCGTTGTCACCATATTAGCTAACGTCATAGTCAACATAGCTAATAGAACTAACGCGTTAGTAAACCCGCTACAATCATGCAGTACAGTGTACAGTCAGCAAGCAGTTTAGCAGTTACACCGGTGAGCCCCTGTGGCAATAAACTAATAAAACCAAAAGTTTACCTTGATTTGGAAGAGTTCCAGTGTTGGATAGCCATAGCCAGCTAGCTAACATAGCATCCCTCTCTGTTTGAGCCGGGTGTTTGAGTAGGCTAATCTAGCTAGCTGCATTTACTGGCTAAGTAAGTCAAAGCGAAGAAAAAATGGAAGGAAATATAGCTCTCTCTCTCTCGCTTTCTTGCTTCTCCTTCATTTTTGAAGAAATTAATTTGTTCAAAACTGCTCCACTATTGTCTTTCTCTCTCTTTGAGTCAATTATTCACCACATTTTATGCACTGCTGTGCTAGCTAGCTGTAGCTTATGCTTTCAGTACTAGATTCATTCTCTGAGCCTTTGATTAGGTGGACAACATGTCATTTCATGCTGCACGTCCTCCGGAAGTTGTCATAATTACTGTGTAACTCTATGGAAGGGAGTGAGAACCATGAACCTCCTAGGTTTTGTATTGAAGTCAATGTACCCCGAGGAGGACGGAAACTAGCTGTCCTCCGGCTACATCATGGTGCTACCCTACAGAGTGCTGTTGAGGCTACTGTAGACCTTCATTGCAAAACAGTGTGTTTTAATCAATTATTTGGTGACGTGAATATATTTAGTGTAGTTTTATCTAAAAAGGATTAAAAAAATTATGTTTCACTATTTTTATTTTTATGAAATTCACTGAGGAGGATGATCCTCCCCTTCCTCCTCCAAGGAGCCTCCACTGACACACACACATGCAGTGCATGAATCACTCTAGAACGGTGGTTGGTGGTTGGACGGTTGGATGCAAAGGGCCGTTGTGAGTCAATAAATCACTGTGTGTCATATCTGGGGGTTGTGCTGCTTGTGGACTATGAGGTGCAAAACCAAACAAATACGTTTTGGGGGACAAACATGGATGTAGGACCGATAGGCGCGCGCGCGTAGACAAGATGGCGTATTGAATAGACAGCGGTACAAATCACCTCAAGATTTGTACCGCTGAGTGGCGCAGTGGTCTAAGGCAGTGCATCGCAGTGCTAACTGTGCCACTAGAGATCCAGGCTCTGTCGCAGCCGGCCGCGACCGGGAGACTCATGGGCGGCGCACAATTGGCCCAGCATCGTCCAGGGTAGGGGAGGGAATGGCCGGCAGGGATGTAGCTCAGTTGATAGAGCATGGCGTTTGCAACACCAGGGTTGTGGGTTCAATTCCCATGGGGTCCAGTATAAAAAAATATGTATTCACTAACTGTAAGTCGCTCTGGATAAGAGCGTCTGCTAAATGACTAAAATGTAAGATAAAAACATAATATAAAAAATCAGTAAGTTAGACTAAATATTAGCATTTCATATATTCGCAGTTAATAAAATTCAATCTGGATAATAACACAAATCATAATGCTAGAGAAATATATCGACAAATAGTACAACAACACGCAACACCCAAACATGTTGGAAGATAAACGAGGAGAACCAATCCCCAAGAGAAAACGCGACTCGTCGACTGATACAGATGATTTATGCTTTTCACCACTGGGTCTGGTAAGTGTGGAAAGCAACCTGTTGAAGTCGATAAATGACAAACTGGGCATACTAGAGCTGGTCAGTAAGGATGTAAAGGAGTTGAAAGCTAGTCTTGAAATGAGTGACGAAAAAGCAGCGATAATGGAGAAAGAAACCAAAAAATTAATAGTGACAGTCACTAAGATGGAAACGGACGTTAGGGAACTTAAAAAGGAGAACAACCTTCTGAAAGAAGCCTTACTAGACATCCAAACTAGATCAATGAGAGAAAATCTAGTACTTACGGGTATTCAGGAAAAAGAGGGAGAAGTAACTGAGAATATTGTGAAGGACTTCCTTCTTACAGCGCTGCAGATTCCACTTGAGGCTGTCGATAAAATCCAACTCGAACGTGTACACCATTTCGGACAAAGAGGACAGAAATACGAGCATCCAATCGTTGCCAAATGTGCTTTTTTTTAAGGATAAAGCAATGGTTAAAAGCTTGAGTTGGGCTCTGGGATGGATCAACCATTGAGCATCTGATCTTGGTGGCTGGTTGTGGGGGGGGAGGGTTGAGTGTGTGAGTGTGTGTGTGGGGGGGGGGGGGGGGGGGGGGGGGTTGATCACAGTGGTTGTTTGCTGAAGTGGTAGTTGTATGTTAAAAATGTAATGTAATACAATGGCAATTCGGGTTATAGGTTAAAATCCTACACATGAATGCCGACATTATTTCGCACATTAATTGATAATGATGGAAAATAAGACATGCAAGATATTTCAATAGATATTTTTTAAATAGCTATATAAATATATTGAGGTGAGAGCATTGGAAATGCTTTTGGCGGTTGACCTGCTTCTGTTTTGTGGGTGGAACTATGTGATGTTTTCGATGGATGGGTCCTGGCCCCTAGGCGGCATAGGGATCCGGGGGGACAGGGGTGGTATGCTGATCACTGGGATGACGGCCCAACTTGGGATGGGGAGGGGTTTTAGCGGGGGAATTAGTGGAGAACAATTGGAGGGTTATTTAGTAACATTGCAAATATCATGGTATAGCTATATGGACACTCAATCACTATGGTATTTTCTATTGGTAAATTTACAAACATACAGTGGGGAAAAAAAGTATTTAGTCAAATCAAATCAAATTTTATTGGTCACATGCGCCGAATACAACAGGTGCAGACATTACAGTGAAATGCTTACTTACAGCCCTTAACCAACAGTGCATTTATTTTTAACAAAAAAAGTAAAAATAAAAGAGCAGAAGTAAAATAAAGTGACAGTAGGGAGGCTATATATACAGGGGGGTACCGTTGCAGAGTCAATGTGCGGGGGCACCGGCTAGTTGAGGTAGTTGAGGTAATATGTACATGTGGGTAGAGTTAAAGTGACTATGCATAAATAATTAACAGAGTAGCAGCAGCGTAAAAAGGATGGGGTGGGGGGGCAGTGCAAATAGTCCGGGTAGCCATGATTAGCTGTTCAGGAGTCTTATGGCTTAGGGGTAGAAGCTGTTGAGAAGTCTTTTGGACCTAGACTTGGCACTCCGGTACCGCTTGCCGTGCGGTAGCAGAGAGAACAGTCTATGACTAGGGTGGCTGGAGTCTTTGACAATTTTGAGGGCCTTCCTCTGACACCGCCTGGTATAGAGGTCCTGGATGGCAGGAAGCTTGGCCCCAGTGATGTACTGGGCCGTACGCACTACCCTCTGTAGTGCCTTGCGGTCGGAGGCCAAGCAGTTGCCATACCAGGCGGTGATGCAACCAGTCAGGATGCTCTCGATGGTGCAGCTGTAGAATTTTTTGAGGATCTGAGGACCCATGCCAAATCTTTTCAGTCTCCTGAAGGGGAATAGGCTTTGTCGTGCCCTCTTCACGACTGTCTTGGTGTGTTTGGACCATGATAGTTCGTTGGTGATGTGGACACCAAGGAACTTGAAGCTCTCAACCTGTTCCACTACAGCCCCGTCGATGAGAATGGGGGCGTGCTCAGTCCTCTTTTTTTTCCTGTAGTCCACAATCATCTCCTTTGTCTTGGTCACGTTGAGGGAGAGGTTGTTGTCCTGGCACCACACGGCCAGGTCTCTGACCTCCTCCCTATAGGCTGTCTCATCGTTGTCGGTGATCAGGCCTACCACTGTTGTGTCGTCGGCAAACTTAATGATGGTGTTGGAGTCGTGCCTGGCCATGCAGTCATGGGTGAACAGAGAGTACAGGAGGGGACTGAGCACGCACCCCTGAGGGGCCCCCGTGTTGAGGATCAGTGTGGCAGATGTGTTGTTACCTACCCTTACCACCTGGGGGCGGCCCGTCAGGAAGTCCAGGATCCAGTTGCAGAGGGAGGTGTGTAGTCCCAGGATCCTTAGCTTAGTGATGAGCTTAGAGGGCACTATGGTGTTGAATGCTGAGCTGTAGTCAATGAATAGCATTCTCACGTAGGTGTTCCTCTTGTCCAGGTGGGAAAGGGCAGTGTGGAGTGCAATAGAGATTGCATCATCTGTGGATCTGTTGGGGCGGTATGCAAATTGGAGTGGGTCTAGGGTTTCTGGGATAATGCTGTTGATGTGAGCCATGACCAGCCTTTCAAAGCACTTCATGGCTACAGACGTCAGTGCTACGGGTTGGTAGTCATTTAGGCAGGTTATCTTAGAGTCCTTGGGCACGGGGACTATGGTGGTCTGCTTGAAACATGTTGGTATTACAGACTCAGTCAGGGACATGTTGAAAATGTCAGTGAAGACACTTGCCAGTTGGTCAGCACATGCTCGGAGTACACGTCCTGGTAATCCGTCTGGCCTTGCGGCCTTGTGAATGTTGACCTGCTTAAAAGTCTTACTCACATCGGCTACGGAGAGCGTGATCACATTGTCATCCGGAACAGCTGGTGCTCTCATGCATGCTTCAGTGTTGCTTGCCTCGAAGCGAGCATAGAAGTGGTTTAGCTCGTCAGGTAGGCTTTTGTCACTGGGCAGCTCGCGGCTGTGCTTCCCTTTGTAGTCTGTAATAGTTTTCAAGCCCTGCCACATCCGACAAGCGTCAGAGCCAGTGTAGTACGATTCAATCTTAGTCCTGTATTGACTCTTTGCCTGTTTGATGGTTCGTCGGAGGTCATAGCGGGATTTCTTATAAGCGTCCGGGTCAGCGTCCCGTTCCTTGAAAGCGGCAGCTCTACCCTTTAGCTCAGTGCGGATGTTTCCTGTAATCCATGGCTTCTGGTTGGGGTATGTACGTACGGTCACTGTGGGGACGACATCATCAATGCACTTATTGATGAAGCCAGTGACTGATGTGGTGTACTCCTCAATGCTGTCTGAAGAATCCCGGAACATGTTCCAGTCTGTGCTAGCAAAAGTCAGCCACCAATTGTGCAAATTCTCCCACTTAAAAAGATGAGAGAGGCCTGTAATTTTCATCATAGGTACACGTCAACTATGACAGACAAATTGAGAAATATTTTTCCAGAAAATCACATTGTAGGATTTTTAATGAATTTATTTGCAAATTATGGTGGAAAATAAGTATTTGGTCACCTACAAACAAGCAAGATTTCTGGCTCTCACAGACCTGTAACTTCTTCTTTAAGAGGCTCCTCTGTCCTCCACTCGTTACCTGTATTAATGGCACCTGTTTGAACTTGTTATCAGTATAAAAGACACCTGTCCACAACCTCAAACAGTCACACTCCAAACTCCACTATGGCCAAGACCAAAGAGCTGTCAAAGGACACCAGAAACAAAATTGTAGACCTGCACCAGGCTGGGAAGACTGAATCTGCAATAGGTAAGCAGCTTGGTTTGAAGAAATCAACTGTGGGAGCAATTATTAGGAAATGGAAGACATACAAGACCACTGATAATCTCCCTCGATCTGGGGCTCCACGCAAGATCTCACCCCGTGGGGTCAAAATGATCACAAGAACGGTGAGCAAAAATCCCAGAACCACACGGGGGGACCTAGTGAATGACCTGCAGAGAGCTGGGATCAAAAGAAACAAAGCCTACCATCAGTAACACACTACGCCACAAGGGACTCAAATCCTGCAGTGCCGGACGTGTCCCCCTGCTCAAGCCAGTACATATCCAGGCCCGTCTGAAGTTTGCTAGAGTGCATTTTGATGATCCAGAAGAGGATTGGGAGAATGTCATATGGTCAGATGAAACCAAAATATAACTTTTTGGTAAAAACTCAACTCGTCGTGCTTGGAGGACAAAGAATGCTGAGTTGCATCCAAAGAACACCATACCTACTGTGAAGCATGGGGGTGGAAACATCATGCTTTGGGGCTGTTTTTCTGCAAAGGGACCAGGACGACTGATCCGTGTAAAGGAAAGAATGAATGGGGCCATGTATCGTGAGATTTTGAGTGAAGACCTCCTTCCATCAGCAAGGGCATTGAAGATGAAACGTGGCTGGGTCTTTCAGCATGACAATGATCCCAAACACACCGCCCGGGCAACGAAGGAGTGGCTTCGTAAGAAGCATTTCAAGGTCCTGGAGTGGCCTAGCCAGTCTCCAGATCTCAACCCCATAGAAAATCTTTGGAGGGAGTTGAAAGTCCGTGTTGCCCAGCGACAGCCCCAAAACATCACTGCTCTAGAGGAGATCTGCATGGAGGAATGGGCCAAAATACCAGCAACAGTGTGTGAAAACCTTGTGAAGACTTACAGAAAACGTTTGACCTGTGTCATTGCCAACAAAGAGTATATAACAAAGTATTGAGAAACTTTTGTTATTGACCAAATACTTATTTTCCACCATAATTTGCAAATAGATTCATTAAAAATCCTACAATGTGATTTTCTGGAGAGAAAATATCTCATTTTGTCTGTCATAGTTGACGTGTACCTATGATGAAAATTATAGGCCTCTCTCATCTTTTTAAGTGGGAGAACTTGCACAATTGGTGGTTGACTAAATACTTTTTCCCCCCACTGTATGTTCTTTAATGCAAGGCCGACAGACAAGTTCCTTCCTTTTTCCTCCTTCCACTTTCCTCTTCCATTTTTGCGGTAATGCTGCAATTATTTGGTTGTAATTTTGAGCAGACATTTCCATATATTTTTGTTAGCTGCATGTGCTACATAACTCCACCATTCCTACCGATAATATCATTTACGAAGATTATACCTTTTTTAAACATTTTCTCAAAAAATAACGTTTTTTTAATCAATTAGTATATTTGAGTTTAACCACAATATTTATTGCAATATTTGTTCTGTTATTTCTGGAGGATTAAATTGAAATTGCAACCAACTTTCTATGGCTTGTTTTAGAAATAGTGATATTTGGGAGATTATTTCCTTTTCAAATACCTGAAAGTGAGGGGTTGTAATCTGAATAAAAGGAAAAAATCTTACTAGTTTGCTAGAGAACCAGTTCGGATTTAAGTATAATTTTTGTATGACTGAAGCTTTTAGTGATAGGTCTAATGCTTTAATATTTAATAATTTCTGTCCTCCTAATTCATATTCATTATATAAATAGGCCTATTTTATTTTGTCTGGCTTGCCATATAATTTAAAAAACTGTTCGCTAGGCGTAGGCAAGACCATAAGCAAATAGGTAAACTGGGATAATACTAAAGAGTTAATCAGTGTGATTTTTCCACAAATTGACAGATATTTACCTTTCCATGGTAGCAAGATCTTATCTATTTTTGCTAACTTTCTATTAATTTTTTTGGGAGTGAGATCATTTATTTCATTTGGGATATGTATTCTGAGTATATCCACATCACCATCAGACCATTCTATTGGTAAACTACATGGTAATGTAAAAATTGTATTTTTTAGTGATCCAATACGTAATATAGTACATTTATCATAATTTGATTGTAATCCAGAGAGGTTAGAAAATGTATCTAGATCCTCTATGAGGCTGTGGAGGGATTCAAGTTGTAGATTTAAAAGAAAACATGAATCATCAGCGTACAATGACACCTTTGTTTTTAAGACCTGGATTTCTAATCCCTTGATATTATTGTTGGATCTGATTTTAATAGCTAACATCTCGATGGCAATAATAAATAGATATGCCGATATTGGACAACCTTGTTTCACTCCTCTTGACAGTTTAAAACTTTCCGAGAAATAGCCATTATCTACTGTTTTACACCTAGGGTTACTATACATGATTTTAACCCAATTTATAACAGATTGTCCAAAATTGAAATGCTCCAGGCATTTACAGTGCTATGAAAAAGTATTTGCCCCCTTTCTAATTTTCTCTACTTTTTCATATTTGTGATACTGAATGTTATCAGATCTTCAACCAAAACCTAATATTAGATAAAGGGAACATAAGTGAACAAATAACACAATTACATATTTATTTCATTTATTTCATAAACAAAGTTATGCAACACCCAATTCCCCTGTGTGAAAAAGTAATTTCCCCCTTACACTCAATAACTGGTTGTGCCACCTTTAGCTGCAATGACTCCAACCAAATGCTTCCTGTAGTTGTTGATCAGTCTTTCACGTCGCTGTGGAGGAATTTTGGCCCACTCTTCCATGCAGAACTGCTTTAACTCAGTGACGTGTGGGTTTTCAAGCATGAACTGCTCGTTTCAAGTCCTGCCACAACATCTCAATTGGGATTAGGTCTGGACTTTGACTAGGCCATTCCAAAACATCACATTTGTTGCTTTTTAGCAATTTTCATGTAGACTTGATTGTGTGTTTTGGATCATTGTCTTGCTGCATGAACCAGCTGCGCTTCAGCTTCAGCTCACAGACGGATGGTCTGACATTCTCCTGTAGAATTCTCTGATACAGAGCAGAATTCATGGTTCCTTCTGGGCGGCAGGTAGCTTAGTGGGTAAGAGCGTTGTGCCAGTAAATGAAAGGTTGCTGGTTCTAATCCCCGAGCCGACTAGGTGAAAAAATCTGTCGATGTGCCCTAATTGCTCCTGTAAGTCACTCTGGATAAGAGCGTCTGCTAAATGACTAAAATGTAATGTAAAATGTAATTAAGGCAAGTCGTCCAGGTCCTGAGGCAGCAAAGCATCCCCAAACCATCACACCACCATGCTTGACCTTTGGTATGATGTTCTTACTGTGGAATGCAGTGTTTGGTTTTCGCCAGGCATAATGGGACCCATCTCGTCCAAAAAGTTGACTCAAGTTGCCAAAAAGCACCTGGATGATCATCAAGACTCTTGGAAGAACGTTCTATGGACAGATGATTCATAAGTATAACTTTTTGGACGACATGGTTCCAGTAATGCCTGGCGAAAACCAAACTCTGCATTCCACAGTAATTGTTGTGTTATTTGTTAACTTATGTTCCCTTTATCTAATATTAGGTTTTGGTTGAAGATCTGATAACATTCAGTATCACAAATATGCAAAAGTAGAGAAAATTAGAAAGGGGGCAAATACTTTTTCATAGCACTGTATATATAAACCCCAGTCGTACTTTATCAAATGCCTTTTCAAAGTCTGCTATGAATAGTAGGCCTGGCTTCCCAGATTTTTCATAGTGTTCTATTGTTTCCAGTACTTGCCTTTATATTATCGCCAATGTATCGCCCATGTAAAAAAACGGTCTGATTTAGAATGAATAATTTCCGACAATACCTTTTTAATTCTATGCGCTATACATTTTGCTAGAATTTTTGCATCACAACACTGAAGTGTAAGGGGCCGACAATTTTTTAAATGGACTGGATCTTTATATTTTCCACTTGTATCCTGTTTCAGTAATAATGAAATCAGGCCTTCTTCTTGAGTGTCTGATAATCTACCATTTACATAGGAGTGATTAAAACATGCTAATAACGGTCCTCTGAGTATATCAAAAAAGGTTTGGTATACCTTGACTGGTATGCCATCCAACCCTGGAGTTTTCCCGGACTTAAAGTATTTAATTGCATCCAGAAGTTCCTCCTCTGTAATTTCACCTTCACATGAGTCTTTCTGTATGGCTGTTAATTTTACATTATCAATAGAAAAATAATCTCTACAATTTGCTTCAGTTAGAGGAGATGGAGGCGACAAACGAAAACATATGCTTAAAGTACTTTGTTTCCTCCTTCAAAATATAATTTGGTGAATCATGGGTGACTTCGTCATTTGTAACCAGTTTCAATAAATTATTTTTGGTAGCATTCCTATGTTGAAGATAAAAAAAGTATTTGGTGCATTTTTCCAGATATTCCATCCAGTTTGCTTTATTTTTATAATATATTACACTTGATCTTTCTTGAATAAGTTTCTCAATTTCTTTTAGTTTTTCCTCTAATTTATTCTGAGCCTCTATGTTACAGTTCTTATTGCTATCTATCTGTTCTGTTAGACCTTCTATTTCCTTTGTTAGTGTGGACTCCTTTGACCTAAATTGCTTTTGTTTTCGAGATGAGTACTGAATTGCATGGCAATTGTGTCCCATACAATAAGGGGATTTGCTGTACCTATGTTATGTCGGGAAAAAATCTGTTATAAATTCCTCTGTCCTAGTTAAAAACAAGTTATCATCCAATAGGCTTTGATTTAAATGTCCAATATCCTCACCCACGTGGAAATTCAGTAAGAGTAATGTATATGCCAATTATATGATGGTCCGACCGCATTCTGTCCCCTATCAACACTTTTTAAACTTTTGGTGCCAACGAGAATGACATAAGAAAGTAGTCAAGACGACTAGCTTGATTGAGTCTCCGCCATGTATATCTCACTAGATCAGGATATTTAAGCCTCCATATATCTACTAGTTCTAATGTGTCCATGACATTCACGATTTCCTTAAGAGCATGAGGGTGATTGTTTGTAGTGTGATTTCCTTTACAGTCCATTGAGCTATTTAAAACGGTATTATAATCTCCCACCATAATAATAGAGTCTTGAATTGCTTACAAGGTCGATAAGTTATTATATATATTTTCAAAGAAGTGTGGATCATCATTATTTGGTCCGTAAAGGTTAATGAGCCATATTTGTCTATGGTTCAATAACATATTTAAAATAATCCATCTACCTTGCGTATCTGTTTGGACAATTTGCACATTCGGATCGAAATTACTGTTAATTAATATCATCACCCCTTTTGAGTTTCTTAGCCCATGGGAGAAGTATATTTCAAATTTATTTGCTAATTATGGTGGAAAATAAGTATTTGGTCAATAACAAAAGTTTCTCAATACTTTGTTATATACCCTTTGTTGGCAATGACACAGGTCAAACGTTTTCTGTAAGTCTTCACAAGGTTTTCACACACTGTTGCTGGTATTTTGGCCCATTCCTCCATGCAGATCTCCTCTAGAGCAGTGATGTTTTGGGGCTGTCGCTGGGCAACACAGACTTTCAACTCCCTCCAAAGATTTTCTATGGGGTTGAGATCTGGAGACTGGCTAGGCCACTCCAGGACCTTGAAATGCTTCTTACGAAGCCACTCCTTCGTTGCCCGGGCGGTGTGTTTGGGATCATTGTCATGCTGAAAGACCCAGCCACGTTTCATCTTCAATGCCCTTACTGATGGAAGGAGGTTTTCACTCAAAATCTCACGATACATGGCCCCATTCATTCTTTCCTTTACACGGATCAGTCGTCCTGGGCCCTTTGCAGAAAAACAGCCCCAAAGCATGATGTTTCCACCCCCATGCTTCACAGTAGGTATGGTGTTCTTTGGATGCAACTCAGCATTCTTTGTCCTCCAAACACGACGAGTTGAGTTTTTACCAAAAAGTTCTATTTTGGTTTCATCTGACCATATGACATTCTCCCAATCCTCTTCTGGATCATCCAAATGCACTCTAGCAAACTTCAGATGGACCTGGACATGTACTGGCTTAAGCAGGGGGACACATCTAGCACTGCAGGATTTGAGTCCCTGGCGGTGTAGTGTGTTACTGATGGTAGGCTTTGTTACTTTGGTCCCAGCTCTCTGCAGGTCATTCACTAGGTCCCCCCGTGTGGTTCTGGGATTTTTGCTCACCGTTCTTGTGATCATTTTGACCCCACGGGGTGAGATCTTGCGTGGAGCCCCAGATCGAGGGAGATTATCAGTGGTCTTGTATGTCTTCCATTTCCTAATAATTGCTCCCACAGTTGATTTCTTCAAACCAAGCTGCTTACCTATTGCAGATTCAGTCTTCCCAGCCTGGTGCAGGTCTACAATTTTGTTTCTGGTGTCCTTTGACAGCTCTTTGGTCTTGGCCATAGTGGAGTTTGGAGTGTGACTGTTTGAGGTTGTGGACAGGTGTCTTTTATACTGATAACAAGTTCAAACAGGTGCCATTAATACAGGTAACGAGTGGAGGACAGAGGAGCCTCTTAAAGAAGAAGTTACAGGTCTGTGAGAGCCAGAAATCTGCTTGTTTGTAGGTGACCAAATACTTATTTTCCACCATAATTTGCAAATAAATTCATTAAAAATCCTACAATGTGATTTTCTGGATTTTGTTTCTCTCAATTTGTCTGTCATAGTTGACGTGTACCTATGATGAAAATTACAGGCCTCTCTCATCTTTTTAAGTGGGAGAACTTGCACAATTGGTGGCTGACTAAATACTTTTTCCCCCACTGTATATATATGCGAGAAAAAAAAAACATATGGGGGATTGGAAGTGATGCAGACAATTACATTGATGGAAGTTACAATCTATCTGCAATATTAAAGCTGATCTACCCCCTAAAAAAAAATTATAATAATAATAATTGTCAGAGATTCCATCCCTGACACGGCCAACTGGTCAAATATGAAGTCTGGTGGTCATCCTTTATACTGTATATCCAGATTTGTCCTCAGTGTCTTTTTGTTAAGCTAATCAATCCAACATACTAGAGGGGATTTTGGGATCCACACACTTTGTGTAACCCTTATTAGTTCAGGACATTCAAATCTACAATAAAACCTACACACCATTCTTTCCACTGTCATACTTTCAGTACTGTCTATAATTCAACTGCCCATAATGTTTAACCTCAAAGCTGTGTGGAACCAATTGATATAGTACAGTCAGCAGTAGAGAGAGCAGAGGGAAAGGGAACAGAGAAAGGCATAGCTGTCTCGACATGCATGCAAAGACGGAGGAAGATTATTGCACCCCTAGACAGCCATACTGTTACATATACAAATCCACCTACCACAGATACAGAGTTTACTGAGCAGCTGTGTGCTCTGCTTGCTCAGTTGACCCTTTGTGTGTGTGTGTGTGTGTGTGTGTGTGTGTGTGTGTGTGTGTGTGTGTGAGCCCAATCCCAACCAGCCAGCTCCTTCCAGTCTGCACATTCACTTAGGAGCCCACAGCAGAAGCAAGATCAGTCTGGGAGAGGACAGGCTAAGAAGATATCCAGGACCGAGTCCAGGAATGAGGCTTGGGATTGGGGCTTTGGCTGGAGTTGTAGCCTACTCACAGGGAGCTGTGGCTAGGTTAGCTCCCCCTGTCTAACTCCTCCTCAGGCAGCGAGCCGGTAGCCCTTGTGTCTCTCAGCCCAGCCGCTCCCTCTCCTCTTTCCCGGTCTTTCCTCTCTCCTCCCCCCACTAAGAACAGGCTGTGCCGACCGTCCAGGAATCCACAACACACTAACCCTCTCCCATCCCCCCGGGTCAGGTCCTACCTCGAGTGCAGCCTCTTGCTGGCCAGATCCTGGTCCACAGTGTTAGCAGACTGAGCCATAGGCAGGCAGCCTCCTCCAGTAGCTAACCCTTCACAAATATTTCCTCCAGCTGCTCAAGACTTCCCTGTGCTGCAACTGCCTCCTTCCCAGCGGCTCTCTCTAACGCTCTCTCTAACTCTTTTTCTCCCTCCTTCACTCTCTCTCAGCACAGCAATGGCAGCTGCTGAGGAAGTGAGGTATTGTGCAAATAAATCCATATAAGGCAAGCCCCTCCCCTGCTGCTGATGTCACAGAGCAGCGAGTGACGCATGTTTGGTGTGAGTATGAGGGAGGGAGGGAACAAGCAGGGCTGCTGACTGCAAAAGGGGAAATCAAAATTGTCTCTGTCTCTGTCTGATACATAGGTCACACACATACACACGTATGGGCACACACACTCACACAGAGGCTCTTTTTCTCACTCTTCTATTTGTTCTCTTTCTCTGTCTTAATGTATGCTGAGCGCTAGCATTTTTCTGGTCTCTTTTCAAAGCACATAGCTAGACCTGGGTTTTTCTCACAGGGTCCCTTCCCCCATTTGGCTTACATCGAAGCTTTTCCAAGTTTCTTTTCTCACCATATTTTCACGTTACATTTAATCGTTTCCCCACATCATATAAAATAATGTCCGGTTATTTTCCTTTTAACTGTCATTATCTCTTGAGAAACATGGCATTTATGGTGTCAATAGACAAGTTTCACCCAAGAGTGAGGGGGGGGGGGGGGGGGGGGGGGGGGGGGGAATGTAATTAATAACATCTTAAGATCTTAAGGAGTTTAATTATTGATTACAACTATTGCAAATGCAAACTAAGTTTAATAATAATAACAATATGCCATTTAGCAGACGCTTTTATCCAAAGCGACTTGCAGTCATGCGTGCATACATTTTTGTGTGGTCCCGGGGATCGAACCCACTACCTTGGCATTACAAGCGCCGTGCTCTACCAGCTGAGCTACAGAGGACCAGAATTTCACCTGTACATTTAGTATATGAAGCTAGGTTTATTGGCTAGGATCCAATGGGTGACACCTCTGCTACGTCCCTGACGACACAATCTTATGCTTCCACAGAACCCTGCCACCCTCGTTGTCTCTTGACATTAACATTTTAGTCATTTAGCAGACGCTCTTGTCCAGAGCTACTTACAGTTAGTGCATTCGTCTTAAGATAGCTAGGTGGGACAACCACATATCACAGTCATAGTAGCTATCAGGAAAGTCAGAGCTAGTAAGGGTGAAAAAGTCAAGTGCGAGTGTTATTTTACGAAAGTTATTATTTATTTTATTTATTGGGGGGGAGGGGCGTGAGGAGGGGACGGGCATGAGGAGGGGGTGCGAGGGGGGGGATGTGGGATTATTTAAGATACACTTTGAAGAGGTAGGATTTCAGATGTTTTCGGAAAATGGGCAGGGACTCTGCTGTCCTAGCATCAAGTGGAAACTGGTTCCACCATTGGGGTGCCAGGACAGAGAAGACCTTGGACTGGGCTGAGCGGGAGGTGGCAGAATGGAGTGCTTGGGTTGGAGTGTAGGGTTTCAGCATAGCCTGAAGGTAGGGAATGGCAGTTCCTCTTGCTGCTCTGTAGGCAAGTACCATGGTCTTGTAGTGGATGCGAGTTTCCACTGTAAGCCAGTGGAGTGTGCGGAGGAGCGGAGTAACATGGGAGAACTTAGGAAGGTTGAACACCAGGTGGGCTGCAGCATTCTGGAGATGTTGCAGGGGTTTGATGCCCCTCCCATAAGATAGAATTTGTAGATAACTGGCCCTCTTTCTGGGACTTCCCCAAAAACAGGACCAAGCCTGGCCTGATGAGGAGTGATGGACTCCATCCAAGCTGGAGGTGTGCTCTCATCTTATCTGTCTACATAGTCATGGCTCTAACTCAGTGCATAATTTGTAAATCCGAAGGTGACGGAACAAAAAGTGAGCGTGAGAGGAGGATGACCTAGAGAGCTCTGAGGTACCGGAAAATCAGCTTTATAATAAAGCATTGCATGCATATCATCGCATTTGCATAGTGGTCTAGACTTGAGCAGTAGAGTAGATGCGCTTGCAGATTTTTTTTTTAAGCCTAGGGTCCGGGAAGAATTGGGCCTTTTATAAACGCATTTCATGCAATTCTATTTTATTTTACATGACTGGAGACTTTAGCAGAATACTTTTTAAGACATTGACAAACTGAGAATCTGAGATCAACAAAAACGACCTTGTATTGAATCCATCAATAGCCTAGGCCTAGGCGTGTGGAGGTGTTGGAGGAGACACACATATTGTACAATATGAGGAGGAAATTATAGTCCTAAAAAAGCTTTCCAGTTTCACTGACTCACACAATGATGCTGCAATGGCTGATGTGCTTGTGCCAAAAGCCTCTCTCACTCATTTTAGTTTGTAAAAACAATGCTGTTCACTCAATAGGCCTATTTGGAAGTTAATAAAATAGCCTACAGACAGATAAGCATTTTTGTTTCAGCAGGAGCCATTTGCTTTCCAACCTGTGCTATCCCACGATTGTATTTGAAATATTGTGAAAGTCCTGTTTTGGCTGCATGCTGTTGTTATTCACTTACAGATTTGCCACGCGTTCCCAGCCTGTAGGCAATGCCTTGCGATTGGGCTACACACAATCCACAGCTAGGCTTTTTTTTTTTTTTATCTAAAAGAGATTGATCCTCTGTGGCTAAATTATAGGCCTACTCCTGGTGTAGTATTCTGAATTATTTCGTTTATTTCTGAACAGACGGCAGTAATTCTATAACTTTGGCACATTTATTTCAATTGATCAGGAATGCTGCAGCACCACCAGCACCCTTCCCATGGCTATGATTCTATAAGGAAATAAATGATGAAGTACAACTTTGGAGAGATGGTAGTTGCAGGCTCATGTCTATCAGAGCAGAGAGAGGGAAAGAGGGGAAAGTGAATCTCATTTTGGCTATAGGCATGCTTCTCTCTCGCACCACAGCAACTGCCACATGGTCTCTATAGGCTACAATGTTGCGCAAATCATAAACCCGGGCTGGCCGAACCCGAATCAATTCTTAGAATATCAGGCGCAGGCTGAAAATCTACGTTTTAACATTAGGCAAAAAAAAATTAGGGGGCAGGATAATTACAGCAGAGGCAACTTGATTTAACTCTGATCGCTTTTATTCAAATTTTTACATTGAAAATTATGTTTCATGCCATGAGAGGTATCGGATCCTGCAAATAGATTCCGGAAAGAAACAGTCCAAAACTGAGAGGTGCCGGATCCTGTTCCGAATTAAGCACTGCTCTAACTCCTCTAGTTCCACAATGAGATAGGGTGCAGGCCAGGCAGCAGCTTAGTGGAAACTGCCACTAGCCCAGCTTTCCCGATTGAGACTGTGTATGTGCCTCGATCTAGGTCAGGCAAAACTAAACATGGCGGTGTTCGCTTTAGCAATCTCACTGGAATAAAGACCTCCTCCATTCCTGTCATTATTGAAAGAGATTGTGATAATATCTCACATCTCAAAATAACACTACTTACATTTTACATTTTAGTCATTTAGCAGATGCTCTTATCCAGAGCGACTTACAGTTTAGTGAGGTCATACATTTTTCATACTTAATGTTAGATCCCTCACTTCCAAGGCAGTCATAGTCAATTAACTAATCATTGATCATAAACTTGATGTGATTGGCCTGACTGAAACATGGCTCAAGCCTGATGAATTTATTGTGTTTAAAAGAGGCCTCTCCTCCTGGTTACACTACTGACCATGTCCCCCTCGCGTCCCGTAAAGGCGGAGGTGTTGCTAACACTTACGACAGCAAATTTCAATTTACGAAGAACAAAAAAAAGACTGCTTTTTGTCTTTTGAGCTTTTAGTCGTGATATCTATGCAGCCTACTCAATCACTTTTTAAAGCTACTTTTTACAGGCGTCCTGGGCCGTATACAGCATTCCTCACTGAGTTCCCTGAATTCCTATCGGACCTGATAGTCATGGCAGATGATATTATAATTTTTTCAATATTCACATGGAAAGGTCCACAGATCCACTCCAAAAGGCAGTAGGTTTTGTCCAACATGTCTCGGGACCTACACATTGCCAGAATCATACCTTGGATCTAGTTTTGTCCCGTGGAATAAATATTGTGTATCTAAATGTTTTGCCTCATAATCCTGGACTATCGGACCACCATCTTATTACGCTTGCAATCGCAACAAACAGTCTGTTCAGACCCCAACCAAGGACTATCAACAGCCACGCTATAAATTCTCGGAGAACCCAAAGATTCCTAGACGCACTTCCAGAATCCTTCCACTTACCCAAGGATGTCGGAGTACAAAAATCACCAAACTGAGGATCTAAACTTAACCTTGCGTAATACCCTAGATGCAGTCACACCTCTAAAAACAAAAAACATTTGTCAGAAGAAATTAGCTCCCTGTTTTACAGAAAATACCAGAACCCTGAAGCAAGCTTCCAGAAAATTGGAACGGCAATTGCGCTCTACCAAACAGACTAGCTTGGAAAGACAGTACCGTGCAATATCAAAGAGCCCTGACTGCTGCTCGATCAGCCTACTTTTCCAACCTGATTGAGGAGAATAAAACAATCCAAAATGTATTTTTGATACTGTCGCAAAGCTAACTAAAAAGCAGCATTCCCCAGGTGAGAATGGCCTTCACTTCAGCAGTGATACATTCATGGACTTACTTAAAAGTGGCAGTAATAAAGCCTCTCCTGAAAAAGCCAAACCTTGACCTGGAAAATTGTAACAAATTATTGGCCTGCATCGAATCTTCCATTCCTCTTTTAAAAAATTGAAATAAAACACACTGCCTTCCTGAAGACAAATAATGTATACGAAATGCTCCAGTCTGGTTTTAGATCCCATCATAGTACTGAGACCGCACTTGTGAAGGTAGTAAATTAGCTTTTAACAGTGTCAGATCAAGGCTCTGCATCTGTTCTTGTGCTCCTAGACCTTAGTGCCGCATTTGACACCATCGATCACCACATTCTTTTGGAGAGAATGGAAA